AGGACCCGACGGGGGGTCTGGGAGGAGGACGGTGTCAGAGGACTGGAGGAGACGCGCAGGAGCTCCTCCTGGAGGTGCTCCACGCGACTCAGCAGCTCGGCGTTCTGACGTCTGTGGAAAGAAGTAAAGGGAGGGAGTTAGTAGAACGGACGGCTAGTTAAACTTCGATGGATCATAAAGATCCCATTGTTAAACAAGCATCGCTTTTATATAATGCAATAGTCGACTTATCAATTTGTCTAATCTTTGTACGGTGCGATGTTAGTGCCCGGCTTAGTACATTCAACTTTTAAGTGATTCCTTTGAAGCTACAGGGTGACACAAAAAAACGGTCATCACCAAATTTCGAATAACTTCGGAAGTTTTATTCAGATCATCACCAAACTTCGGCCACTTAAGGTCACACCTATGTAGCATACATCCACCAAGTTTCAAGTCTTCACTACGAATACTTTTAGTACAGTGTGTTTTACTGACGCTCCACAATGTGCTCCAGGTGAGCGCCACGGCGCTGCAGGGCGTAGGCACACTTGCATCCGGCGGGCAAAGTTGTCGATAACCCGATGGCTGTGCACTTTACAGAGTGCAATGGCCTGTGGAGAGTGCTCAGGGGGTGTGCTACCCCTGAAACGTTATTCTTATCGGGTTATCGGCAACTTTGCCTGCCGGATGCAGGTGTGCCTACGCCCTGCAGCGCCGGGGCGCTCACCTGGAGCACATTGTGGAGCGTCCGTAAAACACACACTGTACTAAAAGTATTCGTAGAGAAGACTTGAAACTTGGTGGATGTGTGCTACATAGGTGTGGCCTTCAGTTGCCGAAGTTTGGTGATGATCTAAATAAAACTTCCGAAGTTATTCGAATTTTGGTGATGACCGCTTTTTTTTGTGTCACCCTGTACATTCCACCGAGATCTTAGCATTTATCCATCACTGCCTCCTCTCTTCTTATCTTCCCCCCTCTCTCTCCCTCTCCCTCTCCCTCTCCCTCTCCCTCTCCCTCTCTCTCTCTCTCTCTCTCTCTCTCTCCCTCCCCTCCCCTCCCCTCCCCTTCCCTCTCTCCCTCTCTCTGACTCACTGCAGACTGGCATCAGCCGCCTGGCTCTCCCGTTTCCACCTCTGAACGGCAGAGCGGTACTGCTCTCTCTCCCGCTCTGCCGACTCTCTCCGCCGCTCCTCTTCCTCTCTCCGCCGCTCTTCCCTCTGCCTCTGGCGCTCATGCTCTTCCTGGAAAGATAGCAGTAGAGGGTGAGATAGAGAAATATGGCTAGGAAGTAGGAGGGACAGTTAATGATAGGTACATCAGGTAATGGAAAACGCTAAATTCAGATACGTTAAAACATAATCATCGACATTCTCAGAAAACGAGAGGAATCACTACGATTGTCAGTTAGAAATAACTAATTGTCAAAAAGTCTGACTCGTCATCTTAAGCTGTAATCAACAATTGAAAACACAAATGTGTGCTCCCATACAGATATTCCTTTCCTCATGTCAAATATCTCGCACACTTCAGCGTTACAGACCAGCGAAACCTTTCCCTCTAACACATTCATCCAATATAATCCTCAAAATATCATACTATCCCCTCCCAAACCCTCGCCGTACCGACCCTCCCCCTCACCCACACCTACCTTGGCCCTCTGATGTCTACTCGATTGTTTGAGCAACAGCTGATAGTCTGCCTCCGATCGTCTCACGCTAGCCTCGAGAGACTCCACCGTCAGAATCAGGTCTGTCCGGCTGGTGCCCTCGTGTTTCACTGCAACAGTCAGCCCACCTGTTGAGGCGGGTATAGCAGTGGGAACAGTGGGGTAATAGTGGGGTAATAGTGGGGTAACAGTGGGGTAATAGTGGGGTAACAGGTGGGGTAACAGGTGGGGTAACAGGTGGGGTGAAAGTACGGTTAACAGCAGAACGATAAGTGGTAGTAGCAATATCGTATGTGTAGCCGGTGGGGTAATATCACGACAAAAAAAGTCATAACAACAATATTGCATGCTATCGAAAAAATGAGTAAAAGAAAGCAAAAGAAAGCGTATGTTAAAAACACGGTATGTAACCGATGCCCGCACAATATAACTTAAGTGGGATAATGACTAATGGGTCAACAGGTACTGTGTAACATACGTCACACATGTCCGCTTTTGATCGAGAAAAGTGAAACAAATATTACTCGAACCTACACATGTAACCAGATCGGGACACATGCATTCAGAATTGCCGTTAGAAATATGCACACTGCACACAATTGTTAATAGACCAGACCATGAGTCAAACGCTACCGCTACTGAATGGCGCAATAATGGAAACAAAACCATCAGGATACGCCCGATGTCACAATAACAGCAACAACTTCGCACGTCATGAGCTGACGTCATGCGTACGTGGTTTTTAATTGGTTGTCCGGCATTTGAAAAAGAGACAAAACAAGTCGTGATACAGAAAAGCGACATTCGCTGTAACAGTGTATTTAATTGTTCGCTTCACTAGTACACATCCGGTTGGAACAAGTCCACGGAAACTGGGCGGGATTTCACCGCCAGTATTCTACTGTACCAAGAAACGCTTAGCGTTCATATGAGGTAGGATGTTGATCGTGCAATTCTAAGTCGAGCGGCTCAACTCGGGCTGGGACTGGACTGGACTGGACTGGACTGGACTGGACTGGACTGGACTGGATTTAACTGGACTGGACTGGATTTGACTGGACGGGAAAGGACCGGACTGGAGTGGACTGGACTGGGACTGGACGGGACGGGACCCGAGCTGGCTCGACTCGATCCACAATGTACAGTGTCGCACTATGTAAAGCACCGAGGTTCGGGGAACTGTGCATCGTTGGATAATATGAAAAGTCAAAACCACAGGAAAAGACATCAGACGATCTACATCATTATGTCCGTTGACATTTGTGAGCTTGATCCAACTTGTACACCGTTTGCTGGTGGGCTGGTTTTGTGAAGAAAAATATATTTGTCCAGTACTTTCTGTTCAATAAATATCATCATCATCATATGAGAAAATCACAATGCGGCGTATTTGAGCCGTTTACCGCGGATAATAATAAAACGGCAAAAGCGCGTCATGCTAGGAATTTCGTGGTGCACAAGCTATAGTTCGTTTTTTTTTTTTCAAAAGGACTCTGGCTCCAAGTATGTTTTTCGAACAAGCACGTGTTTTAGCGAGCAAAACGAGCAAAAACTGAACTTAAGAAAATCGAACGTCGACTTATTTTAACATGTGATTTCTTCCCGATAATTTCCATATGTGCGTTTTGGAACCAGATATGAAAACAGTGGTGACGTCATGCTGTCGAACTTGTATTGCAATGTAACGTTTAAGTGTCATTGACGGAACCGCTTACTCGATTATAACCTCGGCAACATTGAACAACGAGGTTTCACCCGAATTAGTCGACACTTTGTCCCATTGCACGGACACCTGGGTGCCTGCTGCCGCCAATGACGTCATCACAGTATGTTCATTTTTAAGACACAATTTCCAGCTACTTACCGTGCAAAATTTGAAATCGATAATTTTTTCGGTAAGAAATTCTTGACCAGACACTGAAGCTGCCAAAACTCACGTGAGAGCTTCGATAATGAACTTGGAGCCAGCGTCCTTTTGAAAATAAACGAACTTATAATACATTTCTGTCCCTGCCGAAGCCTCTAAAAAAGTCAATAAAAGGGGTGAGTGGGAATCCGGCATCAAACTACGGTTCAATATCAGCCTGAAAGAGATAGAATGGCATCTAACCAAACGAGCCGAAAGAGTATGTTCAAGGATTGTCCAATGTTTTATACGTGTTACGTGTAGTGGTGACAGCTAACACATACTACAATTTATAAGATATAAGTGAACCATGAAAAACTGACTTACGAATAAGTTGGTAGGAGACTTTACTCACCTAGCCAAGACGACAGAGGTGCTACCCGAGTGCAGTGAACCAAACTGAAATAACAGACAATCGTGAAACATTGTGCCGATGCAGACGAATGCGGGGTGATAAAGAAAGAAAACAAAACAGTGAAAAATTGCAGAAAACCGTTCAGTGCTCAGAAACATAAATTGAAATAGAAATGGACATTTAAAAGCATAAATTAAGGCACTGGAAAAGTATGAATGACTACGCTAAGGTGTGCGAAACAGAAATATAGACGAATTAGTGTAAGCGGACTCAAAATAAAGACATGCCTCGAGGCGAGCCAAGGCCGATGTCACAGCACTGTCATGTCCGTAAAACCCCTTGCCAACTAAAAGAGAACGGACATAGGTACACTCGCAAGACAAAAGGAACGCGCTACCAAAATGTTAATACGGAGAGCTCTAATAACAAACATGAAACAATCAGCATACAAACACAACCGCAGTGTTTTTCAGCGAATTTTCTAAAATTACAAACAGAACCATTTAACTATAGAATTGAGACAATTTTCTTTCGAAATGATATCGATATATTTCAGTAAGGTGAGCTGTTTTGTAGTGGAGGCTGTCTATGGCAACATTCAACGCCTTTGTGTGCCTTTGTGTCCCATTGTTTCATAGCGAAGTCACAATGCAACCAGATAGGCAGTCAGTCACCACGGGCAGTTCGGTATAACCAAATGAATGCTTTGAGTTTTATACAGCAACGAAAACATTGGGTACCAACCCATCTAAAACAGCCAGTGATAGCATGCACATTAAATAGCAACAGCACATTTAATGTCATGCACGTTACGTCACCATACAGCCGACCGACCAACAATTTCCAAATCCATTAACCCAAATAAATTCACTTTCCACATCACTAAGGTACCATTACCGTCAACCCAAGTCCAAACCACATTTCCAGTCCCCTGGTATAAACTCACCATCCTTGTCCCTCCTTCGATCACGTACTCCCACCCCCACCCCTCCCACCCTCTTTCACACATCTCTATCCGTTCTTTTTCACGCATCTCTCCATCAGCCTTTCGAGTACCCCTCCCCTCCCTCGCGCATCTCTCTCCTCTGTCTTACACACCTCTCTCCCTCCCCCACCCCTCTCCCCTCCCACGTACCTCTGATTGCCTCAGGCAGTGTCTCCGTGTCTCCCAGCTGGGCCTTCAGACGTCGGTTCTCCCTTCTCAGTCGCCGCGCCTCGCCGGTGACCAGGGCCAGGTCGGAGGGTGAGCCGTGACCCAGTCCCGGGCCGGGGCCCAGGTCACGGCGACGATCAGACAGCTGGCGACGCAGCCGCAACAGCTGACGGCGGACAGCCAGCTGATTAGTGCCACGGGGCGGGGTGAGTGGGGAGGGGGTATGGCACAGATCGCTGAGCCGCCTACTGTCCAGTTTATGGGACAAACACTTACCTTGTCCGCATCGGTCAAAAATCTAGGTGTAGTCATGGACCAAGAACTGTCATGGAATGCCCACATCTCCGCCATCACACAACGCTGTTTTGGCATCCTCATCGGGCTCATTCATGTTAGACACATGATACCATCGCACGTGCTGCCTGTACTTATAGACGCGCTTGTCATTTCTCATGTTAGATATTGTCTGTCGGTCTATGGAAGCGCGAATCGCACTGGCTTAGCTAGAGTTCAAAAGATATTGAACTTCGCCGCCCGGGTAGTGTCCGGAAGACGTCGGTGTGATCATGTGTCGGACATTATCAGTGAGCTCGGCTGGCTGCGTGCAGCTGATATGGTGATGCATTCTGATGTCTCGCTGCTACACAGCATATTGTTGTCTGACAAACCCGATGTACTGCGCTCCTGGTTTGTACATAACCATGAGCATGTGTGCCGTCAAACGAGGCAATCTCGCCATATCACACTGCCCAAGTCTAGCAACAATCACGGGAAACGCCGATTTGTGTACCGGGCTGCCGACCTGTACAACCGAATGGTGATCGCCAGGGACAGAGATCACATGTCACTGCGCAGCATCAAGGCATCTATCCGTGATGACCTAACCAGCCATTGAACACAACGGTCGTGTATTTTGTGTCATATTAGGTCCACTGTATTGATCGGTCTTATTAGGTGTCTTTTATGAGGTGTTCATTGTGTGCTCATATTGCATTGTATATGACGAAGGTCGCAGAATAGCCCTGCACCAGTGGAGCGACCTTATTCGGTAAATACATACATACGTATGCAAGCTTGTTTGGGCTTTAAGTTTAAGTTTGTACAATTACTTTACTTGCAAAGCAAATGATCTAGTATAGTCTAGTAACAGACGATCTAGTATCTAGCAGCTAGTGACAGCCGAAGGGAGCATCATGTTAAGTCAGGCCCGTCCTCCGAAATCTGCTCATCCTCGTGCTTCCTACTTTCTCCATTCCCCATCCTCTCTATCTCCTGCTCCATCGTACACCCCACTCTATTTTCCGGGCGGTCTTCCGCTTCCTGACTCTTCCAGATCTTTCCAACTCATCCCACATGCTTCTCTTGTAATTCCACAAACCTGTCTCTCCCTCTCTCCCTTTTCACCCACCTCTCTGTAGTACACCTGCACCTGCAGTTTCAGCTCCTTGAGCCGCACAGTGCGAGTATCGGCCCTCAGTCTGCGAACCTCCTCCTCCTTCTCTTTGAGGACCTGCTCCAGACGGAACAGCCGCAGCTTCAGGCTGGTGACGGTGGCACTGGTGCTGGTGTTGGTGCCGCCGCCGCAGATTCCACTGGTGCTGCCCGTCTCTGACTGAAAAGGGGGGAATGAAGGGGGGGGTTCATTGGGGTTTTAAGGGACGCCGACTCTGACGGTCATTTTGCGTGACAGAGGGAGAGTTGGTAATGGCACAAGGGAGATGTCTAGAGGGAAGGGTTATACAGGCACTGCCATGTCGGAAAAATCACATTATAAGGCGAGGAATGGAAGATGACTCGAAGGAAGGATTAAAAGGTTCAATATATCGTTGTCACTTTAAAAGAAATGTTAGAATAGACGGCTAGAGAATGATTAAGCGAGAGTAAAAGGTTAGAACAGTCGCATTTGAAGAGGTGGTTAGTGTGTGGGTTATTTGAGTTTTTTGCGTCTTTCTAGATGAAAAATCACACACCACCCACGTCATCCCACCCCTCCCCTGATGACCTTGACCTGACCTTGGCGGCGGCCTCCTCCAGTCGTTTCTCCGTCTCTCGGTGACGCTTTGAGAGCTCCTCGCGACATTTAGCCAGCTGACCGCGCAACAGCTGATTGTCGTCCCGGAGATCGGCCGCTCGGTAACGCAGGAGTTGGATCTCGTCATATTGCTCTTCCTGTGGAAACAGGGTGAATGACACAGGGTGAATGACACAGAGTGAATTCATCATGACATGAATTACATGATGCACAGCGGGAACAGGTATGGTTGACTTCAACTACCTAAGGGTGAATGATACATGCCAAAGCGGGGGAGATTTGAAATAAATAATAAAATCGAAAAATGTAAATAAACTTGCTCTAATGTTATATCAAAAGATACATCGAATCAAAATAAAAACGAGTTTGTATCGAAAAGCTTTCGGCATTGTGCCGTCAATGCTCTCCGAAAGCTGATGTTTAGTTTTGGATATCATATTTCGGAATGGTTTCGTAGTACCTATTTCTTTTAGCGCAGTATTTCGTTCCTGTCTTATTAAGACAAGTTGGAAATCTTCCAACTTAAGTTGGAAATCTTCCAACTTATTTCCAGGTTGAGTGAGAAGCGGAGGCATCAGCTTAACACCGGAAACGATGTAGCGTGCGAGCAGCCCTATCAAATAGCACGCGACCTTAATTACTGTAACATAACACACAACCAACATGAAAGTGTGTGCTCCCAGCATGAGCAATGTGCAATGTGTACAGTGGGCATTGTGCTAGGTGTACAGTGCGCACTGTGCTAGGTGTACAGTGGGCACTGTGTATTGTACAGCATACCCTTCCAATGCTCGCCCTTCGCTTTGTTTCTCCCCCCTCCCCCTCTCTCACTCACACGCGTACCAATCAATATTTACCGCCCCTCCCCTCTGCCCCCCCTTCTGACCACCGAACACCCATCACTGCAGGGTGTGTCGAACCCCCTCCCCCCGCCCTCCCCTGCCCCCCCCCCCCCCACACACATCGATACAGCCGGACCCGGAGTGTCCGACTGGATCACATCCTTCTGAAAACTGGGGCGAACAGGGCTAGAGGTCACGCGAAGCTAACTAATCCAGGCGCTAATCTGCCGTAGGTAAAGTGGAGAATCGTGTTAGATGGGTTGACCAAGGCTGGGTGGCTTGGTGGGAGGAGTTATGAGAGGGCCTATTTATAAACGTCAGCGCCTAAGGCTACGGCAGGACCAAGAGTTGTGGCTTCACAGTAGAATGATCAATAGATTCGTAATGAAATGAGTCGTAACTGATTGAGGTTAAATGAATTTTTGACGCAATATAAAATAAAGGGGAGTACTCAGTACCTGTTCATACTCATATGACTACTCCCCCAAATGAGTGAGAGCTGTTAACTTAATGTCAGGTGATGATTGACGAGATTGTTTACGAAAAGAGACAAGTCCCGAGGATATCCCCGCCAAACATATCCACTGCCCACTTGACTGAGCCGATATACACTCGGCCGGTGATGAGAGCCCGGGTTCGAGTCGCTCTGACGCTCGATAATGAGTCTCCTGACAGGGATGGTCTGCGGCTAGTGGGGCAGTCGCAGTCAGTTGAGGCCATTTAAGTGGGACAGACCATGTCTCATTGTATAGCATCGATGAAGGGACTGAACTGGCCTCCGAATTATCTCCATGCGGCCCAGCATTGCCCGATCAGGTGGTGAGGGTTGGGGCCTGCCCAATAAGCACTGCTTTAGCGCGGACTCCCACAGTCTGTCTATCTGTTCATTCAAACATATATAATAGTATGCCCTTCCAGGAGACCCATGGCAGCCCCTCAGTTAGTAACTTGCAGTGGAATTTCCAGTCCACCAAGACATCATCCTCAGGTAGACAAACAAGCAAACAAGTTTTTAGTTTGGAATTTGGGTACTGTTGGACAGTTAATAAATTTGTGACAATATTAACAGGCTCAGCATGTAGAAATACCACAGCACAATAACAAAGTGTAGGAATACCTACCATAGCAAAACATGAATCATCCCTGCTATAAACCATTCATTTTCCCATAAATAGAATATCTACCAGATGATGTAGTAGGTAGATGTAGACATTTTTCCGAGCTTGCAAAGCAAATTAAAAATCATTTGGCTGGCAAGATGCTGTGAAAATGAAATGTTCAGGTGAATGAAATGTGAGAAAACAAAAACTGATGATTAAATAATAGTAAGTATTTGCCTTTTAAAATACAGCGAAAAACTAACAAATGAATAAAACAAATAAAACATTCAATGCCCTGAAGACAAGAGAGTTTGAGTTGCGGATCATTGTCCTTAAATGTAAAATATGAGTAATTAAATGTGATAACAGAAGTAAAACTGTATACCTCCAAGAATTAAATGCACCATATGTGTCAGCATACCTGTGACTTGTAGACAGGCTTGCCGTGGAGCTGAGGGGTAGATTGAACACGCAGCATGGCACCAGCCTGGAACATGCAAAATGTCTGTAGTTAGCAACAACATCATGAAGGTGTGGAAAGCCTAACTTAAGCCATGTTTTTAAACATTATAAATTCCACGAAAAAATAGAAAAGATATCATTTAATTAAGGTCAGAGAAGACAGAACATCCCAATCTAAGGCAGAGCTTCTTTGAGCTTCAATCAATAGCTGTGTAAGTAAACTTGTTGAAGCACTTGCTGTATGTAAGGCATAGGTATAAGTTCTATGAGAAAAAAACACTTTTAAATGGCCTCCTTACAATGAAATACCGAAAGATGAAATAATGAAATAATTATTGATGATTTCGACCACAGGTCATTATCAAAATAAGCCAGACAGAACAGTTCTGTCTGGCTTATTTTGATAATGACCTGTGGTCGAAATCATCAATAATTATTTCATTATTTCATCTTTCGGTATTTCATTGTAAGGAGGCCATTTGAAAGTGTTTTTTCTCATAGCTGTGTAAGTAAGATTAACGGTAACTCCCATTTTCTTATCTAAGCTAAAAATGCAGATGGAATTTTGTACCTAATTAATTAGAACCTCTAACACTTCGGAAAATACAAAAAAAAGAATGAACGCCCCCTCCCCCAACACACAACCTCACCCGCCGACTACTAGCGCGTCTCTGGTGCGGCTCGATCGAGTGTAAACAAATGCTGGTATTGGAGCTGCCATATCCTGCTGTTAGCTACCAAATGAAGGAATTCGGGACGGCCGCTCAGGAACCGTCATGTCCAACATGGGGAAGTGCGCTTTTCCATATTGTGCTCCAAGTGATTTGAAGATCACTCACTTTTGATCGAGGTGCTTCGAGGTTCACGTATTTCTAGAATTAACCCGGCAGTTGCTGGGGTATTTCGCCACCCACCGTTTGCTGGGGGGGGGGGGGGCGTTAAACGCCCCCAGCCGATAACTCGAGAACCAATAGGCGCAGCGAAACGCACGAGGCGGCAAACGAAAGAACGCGACGAGACGCTTCAGATGAGTATTTTAAAGTTGAATTTCGAGGTCACAGGTCGGGTCAAGGTCGGGTCAAACACCTGAAATCGGGCTTTCAGTAGCATGGACTTCAGGACTTCGCAATGGGCGCCTCTCGTCATAAACTCTGTCAAAACGGTGCACAATCCATCATATAAGGCCTACAAGAGTGTCAGCTCCATGTAGGGGTCAGTCAAGCATAGGTCAGGGTCAAGGTCAGGTCAACCGGGTAGGCACATATCCCCGAAAATCAAAACTGATATTCGCAGCCTGTGACACATGTTTTATGGGTAATTTAGGGCGTAGAACACGATGGTGACATTCCTTTTATCATATGTGTAGGGGAAAGTGGGTGTATTGCGCCCTCCTAACCAATTGCGCCCACCCACATTCCCACGAATTCAATGGCATGTTCAGCATTTTGTTTTCGAAAACATTATTTTCACCACTGGATAGTTCCTTTTATGGCCCAAGCTCTCCGATGAAGCCAATCAGCAAGGCTCATTACGCCATCAAAGATATTACGGCGTTTTCTTAACTTTTTGGCAGCATTTTGAACCGTTGGCTATAAAAATAGGCGATACTTGTGTGATTTTGAGAGTGATATTTGGAAAGAAAAATCCTTTTTTCATTATATTTCACTGAAACAGTAAACATCCTTTAGCATCTTTATGGTAACTTCTACGCTTTTATTAAAAAGTACCTCAATTTTAATTGCGCCCATGGCAATTGCGCCAGGGGGGCGCAAATAGAATAATGGTGTAGCTATTGTATCACGACAGTATGAATGCATCATTAACTGATTGCAATAAAGAAGGAGTTTTATGTCAGGCAGGGAAGCAACCCGCCATCGTCAGTCCAAAAATTATTTCTCTCATCGAACTTATAATGTAGCTGCCATTTGGGCTATGAGCTTGCGGTGTAATTGACAAAATACGGCATTTTTAACATGGACACAGGCGTGAGAGGTGACAGCTATGATAGAAAGTAAAAACTGATGTCAAAAAAGTTGTAGAAGCAATACAAAATATTAATTTTGAGAGAAACGATTGAAAATATAACCGTCTAGGCGCATACGTTCATATATATCTAGTCGGTTACATCAAACGTTTTCGTTCCACTTCACAAGCATACCGGACACAAGTAAAGTTATTTACCTGCGCAAAAAAACATCGCAATTTATATCTACATTTATTATGTATTGGTATCGAGCTTGATTCACATAATACATGTTCAAGTAAGCCACAATGACATAGAATGCCGGAGTGTATGCTTTCCGTCTCCTTTGCTTAGCCATGTTAAAGGATAGGGCGCAATTGGATTCTAATTGCGCCATCCCCCTGGCGCAATTTACAGCAGTTGTTGGTAAATGCGCCCTTTTGCATGTTTCTGAAAAAGCAGCTGTCAGAAGCAAACGAAACATTCTTAATTGATCGGGAGGCCCTTAAATCGTAGCCAATGAGTTCCTCTTTAACCCGCGCCCCGCTGGGGGGGGGCAGAATCTGCCCCCCCTCCTGTTTTTCGCCAATAACTTCTAAACGCGCTACGCCAGCGGCGTCAAACTTTCAGTACCTTATCATACATCAATTTGACACGTTCCCTGAAAATTTGAGCGAAATCCGTCGGAAAATTTTTGAGAAATTGACGTTTTAGTGACGTCATGTTCGCCATTTTCGCCTCAAAAACGGCAAAATTTCAAACGCCGCTAACATCTTCATTTTTAAGGGAATCAAGACGTAACAAAAAAAGGTTATACGTGATTCTACTTTGTCTATCAAATGGCTATCTCGGTTTTTTGAAAATTTTGGATTTTGGCCAAAATTTTTCCAAAAAACTGACTTTTTTGGGAAAATATTTATAAAATCCAAAATTTTGAGTTTATCGAAAAAACCGGAATATATGTCAAAGAAGTGGTCTATGTGCACCTACATACCAATTTTTAGAAGAATCGGTTCAAAAATGTGGGAGTTATTCAAAATTGTATGACGTCACGACACACAATTTTTTTGAAAAATGATTTTTTTTGGAAGTTCTAGACCTCGTACGGAAACCAAAATAGCACCATTCGATTCGCCGTGAAAAACTGCATCGGATAGACACCTTTTTAGGCCTTAACAACCAACTTCAAAATTTGACCTCACTTGACCTGACCTTGACCTGACCTCGACCTGAAACTCATGCAGAGGTGGTCCATATCACTTATTGAGTGTGCCTATTGAATTCCATGAGTAAAATGACCCATAAAACATGTGTCGCACATGCCCTTTTCTATATTTTGTTTTTGGTGACCTGACCTGACCTGACCTGACCTTGACCTTGACCTTTGAATGACATTGTGTGCAACGAATATTGTCTTGGTAGTCTAAGAACACGTTTTGGGCAATCAGTCTCAGTCCATTCTTCGGCAACTACGGTGCAAGGCCGATACTGTAGAAACTTGCATTTTGTACCCTAGACCTGACCTTGACCTGACCTCTGACCTACTTAAGCAAAAAAATTTGGGCTCTTAAGATCCGCCTTGTTGAGAGCTTTCGATTGCCGTTTTCCCCGTCTTTCTACGACCATCGGTTCGGAAGTTAGACAGGGGGGGCAGAATCTGCCCCCCCCCAGCAGGGCGCGTATGGCTGAATAGCCCAGCGGGGCGCGGGTTAAAATGGTTACCAGTGCATGCTTACATCTCAAGTGGTTTTCTTACAATTAGCGTTTTTCCTTAAGGTGGCGCAATTCACCCTCCTTCCGCTACGTGTTTGGCTCAAAAAGTTCAATATAAGAAATTCATGTATCATGGTCGTGAAGTAGTCACGAGAAATTGCCAAGATTCAGTTCAAGATTTTGGAAAATGCGAAACGATAATCAATAATCGAAGATAGCCATTTGATTGTTCATGGTATTGGCAGTCTAATGGCGTTTACGGCATGTCTGTATGTCTATTCTGTGATTTTATATGATTTTTTGAACATATGCCGTTTCTGGTCGAAAACTCAGAAATCATGACGTCACTAAAACCTTGATATCTCAAAAATTTTCCGACCGATTTTTTTGAAACTTTGTCAAAATAAACTTCAATCAATTGCCTACAGGTACCCAGAATTTGGCGCGCCTGCGGCGCGCCGTTTTTATGCTATGGCCCGGCGAAAAAAGTGGGGGCGTTTAACGCCCCCCCCCCCCCCCAGCAACTCGCGGGTTAATCTAGCTAAGATATAGGCGTTATAGAGACGCTGCCAGCAAAAACAGACGGGAAAGTGCATAGGCGCGGGAGCCGGGGGGCAGTGGGGGCAGCTTGCCCCCCAACTCTGGGGCCGTGGGGGCGGTGCCCCCACAGCTTTGAGACGGAATACCATACTTTTTTTGCAAATGTTTTCTTTTTTTGTTGAAAAAGCCGAGGGGTGAAAAATAAGTGGCCTAAAACCGGTGAGAAAACTAGATTTGGGGGTACCCTAGGTTAATCTCTATTATGGCGTGCCCCCCCCCCCCCCCCCCCCCAGTCGGAAAGTAGTTCCCGCGCCCCTGGGAAAGTGATCGACATCGAACACCGAGTGGTGAGTAGGTAAAGTTTTATTTTAGTCAGTCATACAGTTTGACGAATATGAGCCAAAGCCCAAAATAAAATGTTTTTGCACTAAAACAGTGATTGTTATCGATGAACACAGCGATATTTGTGTCGATGATGTTTTATATTAGCCCACAAACACAACAAAGATTCGAAAAAAAATGTATTTTCCATGATGACCAGAATATTGCAGTTTCATAATATTGCGTTTGCCACAAAATACACTGACCAGTACCTATGCAACGTATACTGGTGCAACGTAGGTTTAATGTATTGATATAAAAAAGAAAATACTCAATGACTGAAAACTAAGGCTCTAAAATTAGTAAAATATCCGAATCGGGTGGTTTTTTGTCGTTACCAATGTGCTTACAAGGCTCTATCACTCGTTGACCCGACCCGGCAACTGACAAGCCTAACGACGCCCATTGCTCCCGAACAGACCCGGGAACGGCCCGCTGGCGGACAGCCGCGGGCACAGCGGATGTGGATTGATCACACAGTCCACACATCCACCGGCGCTAACAACGAACACCTGCGTCGGTAGACACCGCACCCCTTTGAGGTCAGAGGTCAGGATAGTGCAGCAGGTGTCTCCACACCGTCCCCTCAGGCCACAGCTGCTGCCCGGGCCGACTTGACTGGTGGCGCCATCTGCGTTCGGCAACGAGTCGACGGTCTGGGCGAGGTCAAGGCTGGAAGGGACGAGTCCACTTCCGGCGAGAGGGGAGGTCACATCGCCGGTGCGGTATGAGCTTGGCAGGGCCTGCGTAGAGGCTACCAGAGCCAAGATGATCATCTGCGAATGAGAAACAAAGGAGAAAGTCAGAAGGCTACCGCGAACAAACGATTAATCGCTCAGATGTTTAACCCGCGCCCGGCTGGGGGTCCTGGATTTCCACGCCCTGCTGGGGGGGGGGGGGTGTTTGAACACCCCCCCCCCTTCTAACTCGGCTCCTGGGCCACGTAGCGATACGCGGAAGGCGACGTTCGAAAGAGCGTCAAAAATAATGAGGAAATCACTTCGGTCAATTTTTTGCTCAGGTCAAAGGTCAGGTCACCAGAGGTCATTGAAGGCAAAATTTCGCCGATTTCCAGGTCGAATGTCGAAAATTTCCAAGAAGCCAACGCATAACTCGGGAACCAAAAGAGCTACAGCGCCGCGGAAAAGCGCATTCGATAGCCCTTTTAACGCCCTTTCTGATTAATTTTCTCAGATTTGACCTAACGTCAACGGTTTTGCCTGCAGGGGGCAAAAACTGCAAAAATAGCCGATTTTTTCGGAAACAGTTTTTCTGCAATAACTTTTGACCCAAGCCTTGTACGAGCTTACTTTTACCGGCATCGTGTTCCTCTCGTCAAGACGCATCGAATGAACTATAACTTGACCTTGAAAGGTCAACTTGAAAATTTGACCTCAGGTCAAGGTCATGACCTGACCGGAAAGGGTCATGTTGCATATCAGTCGATCCGTATCGTCGAGCTGAACACATATAAGGCGTTTTCATCGCTCTAGCATGCCTCTATCAAAAGTTATTTGCGAAAAACTGTTAGATACCATTCGTGACCTAAGATGACCTCAGGGCATAAACAGGGGGTCACGGACACCATTTTCATGTTCAGTGTGTCTAAAATACTTGTAATTCAGTGTTTGGGAGTGTTTATAATGTCTTTCGTCCAAAAGAGGCGCATTTCAATTTTCTCCCATTGACTCTGGGGAGTCAATGGGGAGCCATTGAATGGGGAGGTCTCAAAATTGACCTGACCTTAGATCAACGATATCAAAATTCTGAGATATACATTTTGTACATGCCATTGCTCTTAGCAATCGCTGAAAGTTTCAAAGCATTCGGTCACTCGGTGTAGCTATGACAGACATTGAAACTGTTTATGAGGTGAGGTCACTTCAAGTGGCCTGGTGACCTGACCTTGAATGACCTTGGTCTGAAATTTTCACAACATGTGTAGAATTGATGTATGATAAGGTGTACCAAAAACGGCGGCGCGGAGCGAAAAACCACAAGGGGGGGGTGTTCAAACCCCCCCCCCCCCCAGCAGGGCGCGGGTTAAGCTACAGGGTGCATACCTTCCTATTTTACGAGTAAGCTTCTAAGTAGGTACCGTTTGACACGAATGAAGACCAGGCTAACACATGACAGAAAAAGGTCACATAGGGTCCTGGGTCATTCCCTCGCTCCCTTAATAGGCACTCAGATAAGACCAAAGTAGGCCTATGCTGCTGTGCAGGCAACACAACAATTCAATTCAACTTACAATAAAAGGTGATTACAAATACGGTCATTCCTTACCATGTTCATCAATGGATTGCAGTTGCCGCGAGCCTTCGTCATATCGAAACCTTCCCCGAGTCAGCTGTCGGCCTCCACCGTGTGTCCTTCACAGCTCAGTCGTTGGTCCTGTCAGCGAGCTGTTCCAGCCAGAGCTGAGGTCTGAGCTGAGCCCGACGACTGCTACCGTGCCGTGCTGTGAGGCTGCACGGTCTGAACAGGCCCTTTTGTTCTACAGAAAGACGGTTCGTGTTGGAGCAAAGCCAGCGGGTGTTATGTGGGAAATACCAGCAGAGGCGGCTCCAGGACTGCCGCGGGGGAGTCGTGTATTGTCGAACACACCCGGGGGTGGTTTGTAAACCACAGTAGACCGCAGATGGGTGTGGGAATGACAGAAAGGTGAGTCACAGCAGAATTCCCGGAGCGGGGGGAACGACATGGCTGGAAAGGCACGTGGTTTGAGGTAACTATGGTCGGATGATTTGTGGTTGAGGTGTATTGAGCGAAGGCTACCTATAGTGATGTCGGTGAGGTCATGGGGGTCAGTGATGTCCTATAGTGAAAATTGCACAAGCTATCCCATTCAATTACATGGTATACGACTACTTTCGTTATTACGTCTCCTATGACAAGTGTTTTCGCTAGAGGCAAAACTGCTAAACTGGACTAACATTATACTAAGATTCTGCTACGGTAACATCCGTTCCGTCGTCTCTATCCTCGGGATAGTCAAGTCCTCCTCCTCCATGTCTCCGCCCCATGCTCCAGGCATGGACGGACAGGACAGCCTTATCCCATTCCCATGCGGGTAGCTCCACCCCAGCTGAGCCGGCCCGAAGCCTGTAGTCGGGTGGAGGGACGGACCGTTAGGGGGCTGGGCGGCCTGCCCCTGGATGGGCTCAGCAGTCAGTACCGACGGTTCACCAGAGCCAGGCGGCGGAACGGGGAGGGCACCGGGGCACCGTGCCCCCTTTGATTTTGACATTTTAATATTAGCCCTATGGGCGTTGGAAAGAATGGGACCAAAAGTCGGCAGTGCCCCCCCCCCCCCCTTAAAGGAAAAGGGCCACCTTTAACCCTCGCATGTGTAGGGGGGGTCCATCCGACCGCGAAAAACCCATGGTTTTTCGCGAATAACTCGCGTAAAAAGCGGCCGATCGCAACGAAACTTTCGGTACCCTCGCATTGATCAATTTTACACCTACCCTGAAAATTTCATGACCCTGACCCAAATGACCTTTGACCTGTGACCTCTTTTCCGAGACCATGTTTGGCCGGAATCGTGATTTCGCGTATGTCGGCTCGCACTAGCCGCGTGTTTGCAAGCTTTTCGTGGTTTCAAACGTTCAAACATGTGATTTGATGTTACTCCTGTGTGTGTCAAGGTCACCTGAAGGTCAGGTCAGGTCATTGACCTTTGGTGACCTCGGGTGACCTCGGTTCACTTTTTCGAGTTTTACATGTTTCTAGGCTAGTTTTTTGAGCTGAATTCGAATTTAGCAACCATTTGAACATTTACGAAGTAGTTTTGGTGACTTCGTAACATGTTACGAAGCTGTCAGAGGCGGTTGACACGTACTACGAATACCCGTCACGACGCCTACTGGTTGACCTGACCTGACCTGACCCGACCTGGTCTAAATGCTTCAAGACATCATCTGTGATCAAAACTAACACGATATTCGTGATCAGCACCCCGAAAAACCCCTTAGCAGCCACAATTTACGACTTTCTAACAGGTCCCGATTTTCCCGACTTTGGGTCATTGACCTGACCTGGAAGGTCAACCAATGACCTAGGACCTTAAAATTGGGTATCATCGGCTTCCTCTCGTCACGGGCAACACGCTCGTTTTTTCCGCGAAGCTCTAGCTCGATCAGGGGCCAAACGGCAAGGGGGGGGGGGTCCAACCGACCCCCCCTACACATTAGAAGCTGGCAAACGCCGCACACATGCGAGGGTTAAAAAGAAAATGAAAAATAATAATGTCAAAATGAAAAACAACGATATCTTCATATTTCACGAAGGTGGCCCTTTTCCTTTAATTGAAGGTGTTCCGCCGCTACTGCACCAGAGTCCCCGGCCCCTCTCAGACCAATGTCTCCAGTTTCCCCCTGATTCCTACATATCATTCCTATGTATCATCCTTCTGACTCACTCTGAAATGGTTTTTGTTAGACTGAACGGGGCTAGCGCTAAAAAAACAACAACAAGCTACAGTAAGGAAAGCGAAAGAGCTATCCTGTCCATCATGTTACAGATATAAGTAAAAATATTTCAACTTTCCCTATCTTTGAGTCGGCGTTCTTACATTTAAAAGCAATATGCCACCTCAACCGAATGTTCCTGGCTCCAGCATTTTTGCTTCGATCTGGTACATACACAAACTAAAAAAGTTTTCGCTGAAAATTCTGACGAGCTTTCTAGTACCGAACACAACTTCACTCAACGTGGCCTAGGGGCCAGGGTATAATACGAGCTGATTTTGTTGTTGTTTTTGTTGTTGTTGCTGCTTCTGTTGTTGTTGTTGTTGTTGTTGTTGTTGTTTTGTCTTGTTGTGTTAGGCTTATTCGGTCTAACTAGACCATTTCAGAGCCGAAAGGATGACAGGAAATAAGGAGAGAAATTTGTCTGGGCAGGCTGGTGATTCATCGGGGTTGAGCCCACCCAGTGGACAGGCTTCCCAACCCAGCCCCCTGAGACGGATACGGGCGTGCTCCTGTGGGAGCTTCCTGCATGGGATAAGGTTGCCCGTCCAACCCGGAACGGGGGATCGAGGCGTGGACTGGAGGAGCAGGATTCGACTGTCCTGAGGATAGAAATTAGAAATGACGGTACGGTGAGGGGCGGATTTTTTTTGGGGGGTTAGGCCCTTTCGGTCCAATAAGACCGGGAGCCGGGAGGATAATAGGATATAGGGGGAGACATTGGTCTGGGCAGGCACCCTAGTGAGTCGCCGGGGCTGAGCCCGTCCAGAGGACAGGCCACCCAGCCCCAAGGCACTCACTGCACCCGGCTACGGGGTGCGCTCCCTCGGGAGCAGCGGTGCCGCTCCAAGGGAGCAGCCCGCATAAGATAAAGTTGCCTGTCCAGCCCGGAGGAGGGTTGCGGCGTGGAGGAGAAGGATTTCTGTATCCTGAGGATAGAAGCACGGAAAGGTGGGGGGGGGGGGGGCGGAATTTTCCAATCCGCCACTACTTGTGATGGCAAAACGTTCCCCACTCGAGTGTTGTCACAAAAATGTGATCCTTAAAACATTAGCTACCGGCCCTTATCAAGTCATATATTGGCATGGCTTGTTACAATTAGATAACAGAATGATCAACGCGTTTACACTTTTCACTTTCTGTTGGTGAAAGATACCCTTCGAATGAGTATTTTTATTGATGCCCTGTCAACTGAAGACAGTCTGCTTTTCGTAACGACTTCCCTAGCGGCGGCAGCCGCCACTGGAAGTACACAGGTAGCCGGTAGGTGGCAGCACCAGCTCGACCGACGCCTAGTGCCCCTGGCGGCGGCAGGTGTCAGTGGTAGTACGTGGGCTGCTGGTAGGCGGAGCCACTGAACTGGTTCGACACGGCTTCCGTGTTGGAGTGGGAGAGCTGACCAAACAGGCCGCTGCTCTGCAGGTTACTGGCCTGCGCGGAGTTCTGGCTGATACCCCCGTTCGAAGCCGAGCCCTGCAGAGAGTAAAAGACGGGATTGTAGTCATGTGGAATAGCAATGTGGACGGTTCATTCATACGATTGGAAGTAGTGTGGAGTATAATGTCGTTTCCAGTGAAAAGCGAATGAGAGCAGAAACTCCTTTAATTTAAAGGGTCTCAACATGGTAGGCTATCATCCGTAGCAAGGAGGAGTAAGGTATGATCATTGCCTTATATCAGCTTCACAACATACTTTGCAGGGCCAGTGACTATCGGAGTGTAAATTATATCACAAATCATCGATTTCAAGGCTTGACACGCACAGTTGATTGATTGATTGATGGCGCTCAACGAATTCACAAAAAAGCATGTGTAGAGCAGGCCAGCATCTGAGACACGATCACAACCTAAAAGTCTTCAATTTATAGTACCTAATTGCAGCATAAATCGAAACGTGATGTGAGATAAAGCAAGTCGCTATGAGAAATAACTAGTTTCTTGTCGCTGCAAAATTAACCCGTTTCTGCGATCTATGTTACTCAGTACTCACCCCAGCTACGGCGCTGATCGACGTCACGGAAGACGTCGTCCCATGGCCGCTAGTCTGTCCAGAAACCACATTTCCCGCGGCATTTCCAGTAGCGGAACCTCCGCCAAAGAGGCCTACGAACTGGTTGCTGACCGCTCCCGTGCTGCCGTGGGAGAGGCCTCCGAAGAGACCTCCTCCGTGCGAGAGACCGTTGTTGTATCCGCCCTGGTTTCCTCCGTGGAAGATCCCGGCTCCGTTGGCCCCGAGGAGGTTCGAGTTGCTTCCTCCGTATCCTGCGCTCGAGCTGTGACCGGCGTTGATCAAACCTCCGGTGTTGTGACGGCGGTTGTTGTAGCCGCCGTTGTTGTACCCTGGGTTACTATGGAAACCACCGCCTCCACCGCCACCTCCGCCTCCGCCGCTACCGTACCCGCTGCCGAAACCAAAACCAAAACCGCCGCCACCGCTGCCGTACCCGCCGCCACCGCCGCCGCCGCCGCTGCTGCTGCCATAACGGTTTAGACGGCCGCAGGAGGCCAGCGTCGCCACACTCAGGAGGAGGATGAACTTCTGCATGGCGACCTGGGGGGAATGAGGTGAGGGATGTGTTAGACATCAGAAGACGGCTGTGCTATGCATATGCGAAGCCGTTAGGAGACAGTGAAGTTGAAAGAAGACGGTGAGGTTTAATTTTGATAGAAGGGCAGTTTATCGAGGAGCCTGCAGGCTCGTTGCTTAACCCGCGAGTTGCTGGGGGGGGGGGGGCGTTAAACGCCCCCACTTTTTTCGCCGGGCCATAGCATAAAAAACGGCGCGCCGCAGGCACGCCAAATTTTGGGTACCTGTAGGAAATTGATTGAAGTTTATTGTGACAAAGTTTCAAAAAAATCGGTCGGAAAATTTTTGAGATATCGAGGTTTTAGTGACGTCATGATTTCTGAGTTTTCGACCAAAAACGGCATATGTTCAAAAAATCATATAAAATCACAGAATAGACATACAGACATGCCGTAAACGCCATTAGACTGCCAATACCATGAACAATCAAATGGCTATCTTCGATTATTGATTATCGTTCCGCATTTTCCAAAATCTTGAACTGAATCTCGGCGATTTCTTGTGACTACTTCACGACCATGATACATGCATTTCTTAAATTGAACTTTTTGAGCCAAACACGTACACATATGATAAAATGAATGTCACCATCGTGTTCTACGCCCCAAATTACCCGTAAAACATGTGTCACAGGCTGCGAATATCAGTTTTGATTTTCGGGGATATGTGCCTACCCGGTTGACCTGACCTTGACCCTGACCTATGCTTGACTGACCCCTACATGGAGCTGACACTCTTGTAGGCCTTATATGATGGATTGTGCACCGTTTTGACAGAGTTTATGACGAGAGGCGCCCATTGCGAAGTCCTGAAGTCCATGCTACTGAAAGCCCGATTTCAGGTGTTTGACCTGACCTTGACCCGACCTGTGACCTCAAAGTTCAACTTTAAAGTACTCATCTGAAGCGTCTCGTCGCGTTATTTCGTTTGCCGCCTCGTGCGTTTCGCTGCGCCTATTGGTTCTCGAGTTATCGGCTGGGGGCGTTTAACGCCCCCCCCCCCCCCCAGCAAACGGTGGGTGGCGAAATACCCCAGCAACTGCCGGGTTAATGCCTCATGAGGAAAAGTATACAAAATTCTGTCTCCGAGATTAATGTCATTTTGAATGAAAATTCATCGATCAAATAAACAAACCATAGCTCAATAGTACGCAATAGGTACATGCTCATTCAAACCGAAACTTATTGTGCCCATAATAAAGAGCTTGCTAAAAAGTTGCGTTGTTTGCTAAAGTTAGTCAAGAATTCAAGAGTAAAGCTACAGTGCATACCTTCTATATAATGAGGACAATCTAACGAGCAGCATATATCTTGCAAGAACGATTATCAGACGTACACGGCAAACCAACGGCAAACGCAGCTAAACGGACAAGGCAACACGTGCAACCGTCACCTCCAAAATAGACCACTGCACGTGCAGCTGAGCGTTGCCATGGTAACTGACCTGCTGTGGCGGAGCTCGGTGGGTGACTGGGCGCCGCTGAAACAGCCTTCAACAGTTTTATACATCGTGCGCCAGTCACGAATGTGGCCCGAGGCGGGGCCTTCCCACTCTACGCCGGTGACCCGGGCGAGCCGGAGACTGCCGAAAAGACGACTGGAAAGCCCTCCACTTGAGGTAGAGATCACGCGTCGACGATGAAGAAAGGGAAGAGGAAGGGCTTCCCGCAGGAGGGGCAGGTGTTAACTGAGTTAGATTAGCGACACCGGCTGGAGAGGTGGCTATGGTGATTGGTGAACCATCTCAATCTTCACCTTCCCGGCCTCCGAGCAACGGCTTCTACGATCATGTTATTGTACATAAATGGATGCAAAGATGTCGTAGGAAAAAATGTCGTGTTTATTTAATTCGAAAGTGATTTAAAAGTGTTATATGTCTTATTCACTTGGAATCGTAAGGTAATCAGGTGGCTTATGGCTACATAAAATGATAAAAGACCCAAGTGCGTACGATGTGAGTGAAAAGGTCGTTTTATTGCAATGAGTTTCTCAAGAATTGCCTTATTGCTAATAGACTTTAGCATAATCTGACACTAAATATCACAAACCAAGTTGAGAGAGAGAGAGAGAGAAAGAAAGAGAGAGAGAGAGAGAGAGAGAGAGAGAGAGAGAGAGAGAGAGAGAAAGAGAGAAAGAGAGAGAGAGGAGAGAGATAGAGAGCTGACTGTCCATCCTATTCTCCTGTCACGCTATCTTTTGCGCTATCACCTAGTGATCTGGAATTGCCCGAGATCAACCCATCTTGCAACAACGAATGGTGCATCATAAATTGTGCATCGGTTCTGGTAAGTCGTAATTGAGCACTGTTGTTGCATCCTGTAGAATTCCCAGTATGTATGACGTGGCCCCGAAACTGCATATTTGTCTGACGTGTAATAGCCCATTCTCGAGCGGTTGAACTGGGCTTTACAGAGGAGAGAGAAATGGAGGAGAGGCTGAAGGAGAGAGGACTGCCTCGGGAAGGGAATCTCAGAGTACCGGGTAATACGAGGATCTTACAACTGGCAGTGGAGAAGAGGAGGAAACAACCAGGTCGTTTTAAGTCTGCGAACAAATGACTGAATTCAGCGAGTCGCTCTCAATGAAATTACTGCGTGTGTTCGAGGCAATGTGATAGGTCTCTTGGGTTCTGGGCCGGCGAGTTCGATTTCAAACGAAAGGTCCGGCTCGTCATGTGATCGAATGGTATCAAATGAATGATTCTGCGAACAGAAGTTCGAAGGAAACTGTATCTCCACCCCCGCCGCGGGTATTTAGAAGGAAGTGATGGTCACGACGCCATTCAGCTGCGCTGACTGGCCAGTTGATGCGGAGTGCTGCGCTCTCAAGGGCAGACCAAGGTGGTGGCGGTGGACGAGACACAGACCGCTGTGAGGAGTCACGGATCGGTGAGTCAGTGAGCAGGTGATCTGATGAGTCGATGAGTTTCTGACTCGTAATAATTTCTGCTCCGCTTTGTTGACTCGGACTGATGTTGACTGATTTGGACTGGGATGACTTCAGTCCATCTGCAACGATCAGACTGATTCTGGCAATTAGTTGCTGACTCGAGACGGAGAATGACTGACTTTTGTGTGCCGGTTGCATCAAATAGACATATACTAGACTTAACACGCGCACCGACGGGGGGGGCGGATATCCGCCCCCCCCCCCCGCCCCCTGAGGTTTTTCGCGGATAGCGGGAAACGGGAAATTTGGTACGACTATTCTCTCATCAATTTTACACATGGTGTGCAAGTTTGAACCTCCTAACTTTTAAGGTCAGGTCACCAGATCACTTTGAATGACCCAGCCTCAAGTCACTTTTTTGCAACTTTGTCACCATGCCAGAGCTACAGTAGATGTCGGAGGCCTTTGAAAGTCGCAGGATGTTATTAGGTCATTAGTAGCTACAATTTGTATATCTCAGAATTTTGATATCGGTGACCTAAGGTCAGGTCAATTTCGCGACCTCCCCATTATAAGTCAATGGGGGAAAAATCAACTCCCTGTTTTTACCACTAAAACGGGTCGAAATGGCCCCATATACCATACATGACTTCATATACGATCAACCTTCACTACCTTGAGGTCTGTTTTGCTGTTGGGCAGCTGTAAGGTCATGTGACGTCATCAAAGGTCACCAAAGGTTTTTTTGCCAATAACTCCGTACAGGAACAAGATACAGCCGTGCGGATGATCTCATTGTGTTCAGCTCGTCAAGACGCATCGAATGATATTGTTGTGTTGTCGCCTCCGACGCCAACAGTCCTCAGACTTGCACTCTCCTTTATTGGGTCCGTCTCCGGTCACCGCGTCCAACGCACTGCCCCTCCCGCTCCGCCGCGACCCAGCGCCGGCCGCGCAGGGCCACGCCCCTGACCTTCGGGGCCGCGCCACAAACCGGGGACGCCGCGGTTCCTACGCCCGCGGTCGGGCGTAGGAAAACTACGCCACACTAAAACTACGCCACACTATACATGATAACCTCGAGGTCACGTGACCTGAGGTCAACCTTTGACCTTGACCTTTCGAGTTCAACATATACATCATTCGATGCGGATTGACGAGAGGATCACGATTATGCCCTTAGTTTGCTCCTATCTTGCCTAATTCGAAAGTTATTCGAGAAAAACTCTCCCCATATCTAGCGCCGCCATTTTGATTTTTTCGACACCTGTGACGTCAGCTTTGACCTGACCTGAAAATGACCTGTGTAAAAATTGTAGACCTTGTCCGTGCGTATCCGATGCCGTTTACCGCTTGTCGCTATCTTGCTTCGTTCTCAAGATCTCAGGGGGGCGGTGATCCGCCCCCCCCCCCCCCGTCGGTGCGAAGTTGGCGCAGACCCCCGTCGGTGTGCGGGTTAATAAGTCACTTACCCGACCTGATGCACGTTATGAGTTGCAGTGCATGGATTTTGTGAGCGGAGAGTTCCAGGATGATGGCTTCGGTGACTGTTGTTTGTGACAAGTGAGAACAATTAATCCCAAACCAGTATTGGTTTTGGTGTTTCCAAGTTTTCGCAGCTTAGCCATTCCATGTGATTGACTGGCGCTGCAAGATAGTGAATATGGCCCATGACATTGTAAGTTGTAACCGAAATACGGCAATATACGTAACCCGACCGCTCCCCCCGTCACCGAGGCCACAAAGGAGCTCATGGCGCGGAGACGGGCGGCTCTCCGTAGCGGTGACCGGCCCCTCTACAAGGAGCTGAACCGCCGCGTGAGAGCAGCCATACGCCGGGACACCAGCGAGGAAATACATCGGCGCATCCTGGCCAGCGGACGGAGCTCGATGTGGCGCACCATACGACCTGTCATTTCAGCCAAACAGCCGACCAGACCGGCGCCCGGCGCTGATGCTGACACCATGAACCGATACTTCGCCAGTGTCGGAACCGTGACCGCCCGCCAGGTGGATACATCGGGTCCGGAGCTGCCGGTGCGCCTGGCGCGCGTGTCTACCGGCCGGTTTGTGGTGCGCACGGTGACACCTGAGAGTTTGGTGGCGACCGTGGCGCAAATGAACGGTAGCTCGGCGTGCGGTGCCGACGGTCTATGCGTGCGGTTCGTTAAGCTCTGTCTGCCGTATATATATCACGTCATCACACATATTGTGAACTCCAGTCTGGCTTCCCACACTGTACCCCTATCCTGGAAACTTACCTATATTCATCCCATCCAAAAGTCACCCAAGTCCACTGAAACATCCAACTATCGACCCATTTCGATCCTCCCAACTATATCCAAGATAACGGAACGAGTAGTATACGAACAACTGTTCGAATACTTCTCGACTCACCACCTACTCCCACCCTGCCAGCACGGTTTCAGAAGCGGTCACTCTACCGACACAGCGCTGCTGACCATGACCGACCGTATATTCGAGGCTATGGACAACCGACAGGTGGCGCTATTGTGTTTGCTAGACATGTCTAAATGTTTTGACGTGATTCCACATGACCGGCTGCTCACTAAACTCATGCAGTATAATGTCGATGTGCGCTGGTTCGAGAGCTATCTGTCGGGACACTATCAACAGGTCCTCATAAGCACACCGGATGGGGGTCGTACGCTCTCGAGGCCTCTACTGAACCCGATAGGCACGTATCAAGGATCTGCGCTGGGTCCTTTGCTGTACGCTGTCTACGCAGCGGACATGCCGCTGTACCTCGATGCAGATATTGCCCACGACCGCTGTCTCGTGCAGTATGCTGACGACGTGCAAATGGCAGTGTTTGGTAGGCCCAGTGACGGTGAACTTGTCCCTAGACTAGAGAGGAACCTGGAAGTGTTGTCATTATGGTTTCGTAAAAATGGACTGAAGGTTAACGCTAACAAAACACAGCTGCTCGTCATCGGAACAGGTCAAAATCTCCGCTCGATGCCTCCGACACGGGTTCAGTTTATGGGGGCTACGATTACCGGTTCCGTCACTGTCAAAAACCTTGGCGTAGTTTTCGATAGAAATATGACTTTTTCGGCACATGTGGACGACGTTGTGAGACGATGCACCGGCTTACTAAGCGGACTTAGCCACAGTAGGCACGCGCTTCCACCGGATACGCTCGCTACCATTGTACAGGCACTCGTCGTCTCATCGGTGCGCTACTGTATTAGTGTATATGGTGTGTGCGGCACCACACAAATGGCGAGACTGCAGAAACTGCTCAACTTCGGCGCACGCGTTATTTCAGGCCGCCGCAAATACGACCACATCAGTGACGTGTTGAGAACGCTGAAGTGGCTGTCAGCAAAAAATCTGCACCTCTACCACTCTCTGACCATGTTAAAACAGATTTTGTCAGCTTGCCAGCCTGAAACCCTGTACAGTAGCCTCGTGACCCGGGGTAGCATTCACCGCCGTGTGACCAGACAGGCTGACATGCTGGAGAGACCTGTAATACGGACGGAATCGGGACGCCGACGATTTCTGTTTTCTGCCGTCACGGGCTACAATGAATTGCCGCCGAGTTTCCACAACATGGGAACGCGAGAGTTCAGGCTAAAACTCCGCAAACATCTTCTGGCAAAACAACAAAACGAGTAGCGCGATGTACAAATGTGATGTGAGATGAGTGTGTGTGCGTGAGTGTGTGTGTGTTAGTTGTGCAACTGAATCCCGATGTTCCGTTTTTATGACATGTCAATCATAATAGCCATGTGTTCATGGACCGATTGCACGATGTGAATACATACATACATACATACGTTGTAACCAAAACGCTAGCAACTGGCGAGAAACTGGTTGGTTATCATCAGTTGTTTGGTTGGTTATCCTGGCTGGTTGGTTGGTCGTCACTTTTATCCCCGACACTGACTTATAAATATGTTGGCATTAACAATATCGAATATAAATTTCCAATAAAACGAGCTCGCAATCAAATTCACCTTTCCGATATATCAAATACATATTTCATTCACAATTCATTATCTGCACTTTCTCGCTGCAATTAGAGACAGCAATTGTTGATGCCAGTTCTGCGTCCAGTTTCTCTCAGTCTCAATCGCCACCAAGTGCTGGCTGGCCTCGAGCCAAGGGGAGTAAAGTCACGAGCTCTTATCGTCCGCATTGTCCGTCCCCTGCATCTCATCTGCGAGCTTTCCGATGTTGCCGTCTGACTCCCGTTAGCAGTCGATGCACTGGAAAGGCCACGCCCGAGGCACGACAAGCTGAGGCTGGAGCTATAAAATGCAGAAAGTGATTACAGGCTGCACACTCTGACAGCAGCACAGCTCGAGCGAACCAGGTGAGAGCGATGAACAGCGAGGAGGGGTAGAAAAGAGGCGAAGCTGTTGTTTAGGTTACTTTTGGCTTAGAATGCTAGATGCTTTGAGGCTTGCAAGCCATCGTGAGTCTCGTAAGCTGCATTCAGATTGTTACAGAGTTCACCGACGTAAGGAATTTAATGAATAGTAGGATTTGGAATCGACTTCAAGTAGTAGAACATTTTGAATATAATTAGATAAGTAAAAGAAATTGACCTTTTCCTCGACATTAAAAATGCAAAAAGCCGAATAATGTATTTAAAAAACGGTGAACTTTCGGCCACTGGCCTTTATCAAAAGGCCAGTGGCCGAAAGCTCACCGTTTTTGTTTTTTAAATACATTTTTCGGCTTTTTGCATTTTTAATGTCGATGAAAAAGTCAATTTCTTTTACTTATCTAATTATATAATATGTTCCTCGCTCGAGCACTTAACAATGGCACAACATTTTGCTTTGATTTCCTTCTTCAATTCAAATAAAACGCAACGCTAAGGCGGCCGCACACTAGGCCGTTCGGCGGGCGACATTCCGCAAAAACGCAATTCCGTGGCGACATTACGCTTTCGTGGACGCCGAATCAGCTGCCGAAACGACAAAATTACCAGCCGACCGCTGCCAGCTAGCTGTCCGCGGGTAGAGTGCGCATGCGCGCGAACAGCCGCGGAGTTGCGGAAAAAGCTGGACCGGTTCAGCTTTTTCCGCGGCGACGCCGCGGACACCCGAAATTGTGAAACTTGAAACTCACCAACTATTGATGGAGCAGCCGAGAAATAGACTTCACTTGATAAAAAATCGTAGCGGCACTTCTTTCCCCATATTAAATGTTTTTTTATACACTTCATTGGTTATTCCAATAATGGGTTACTATGTGCCTCTCCACAATTGTCTTTAGGTTTCTTGCACTTGTCGACAAACACGGTTGTTAACATTAATCACGAGCTTTATTTTTTGCAACTTCCTCCAGAAATTATGTCAAATTAATAGATATTCAAAACTTTATTGTACAGAAATATAGCATAATCGCATTAAATAAGCAAATATTATATTTGCTTAAATGTATTTAGTTTGCATTCGTTTATATTTATCATAAAATGTTTCACATAAAGTTCCTGAAAATACTAAGTAGAAAATCGCACCGCCGAATGGTCCTGTAAACTGCTGAAAACAAGCGGAAAGCCGCTGTAGGAATGTCGCCCGCGACATTCCGCTTTTGCGGAATCTCGCCCGCCGAATGGCCCAGTGTGCGGCCGCCTTTAGAGTTACTTGTCAAAGCTTTCGAACCACACATCCTCTTGTAAGTTTTATCCAGAATATTGACTCAGGGCACATGACTCTTCCAGAATCCAGACCACCATGAGGAAGCTCGTCATCCTTCTGAGTGTGGCCGCGCTGGTCAGTGCCGGTCGGCGCCTCGTTCAGCCGGGTTACGGAGGCTCGAGCGGCGGCGGAGGCGGCGGAGGCGGCGGCGGCGGCGGCGGCGGCGGTGGTTTCGGAGGCGGAGGAGGCGGGGGCGGAGGCGGAGGCGGAACTGGAAGCGGAGGCGGTGGAGGTTTTGGTTTCGGCTCAGGATCCGGAGGAAGTGGCCTCAGCGGAGGCGGCGGAGGTGGCGGAGGCGGTGGTTTCAGCCATGGAGGAGGAGCAGGTCTTGGTGGAGGTCTCGGCACCGGCGTGACTCACGGCGGCAGCTCAGGATTCGGTACCTCTGGAGCAACTCTCGGTGGGACGTCTGGTGGAGTCCACCCCGGTGGGTTTGTGGGGCAGCGCCCCACCACTGGGTTCGCCTCCAGTAACGCTGTCTCCAGCCAAACCACTGGACTTGGAGGAGCAGGAGGCTTTGGGGGAGGAGCTCATGGTGGTCAGGTAGGGGCTGGAGGATTTGGAGGTGTTGGAGGGGCTGGGGGTGGATTCGCTGGAGGACACGGAGGAGCTGCAGGAGGATTTGGAGGAGGAGCAGGAGGATTTGGAGGAGTTTTGGGTGGCGGACTTGGTGGCTTTGGAGGAGCCACCTCTACCAGTAGCAATACGGGAGCAGTTAGTAACCAGTCTGGAGGACTTTTCGGAGGAGCGGCCACGGGATCCGCCAGCGGTAACGTCGTTTCCGGCACATCTTCCGGTGGAGGAGTGACGTCTTCGGTCACCTCTGTCGGCTCCAGTGCTGGGGTGAGTATCTTACATCACTGCAGAGAATATAGACACTGTGCGTTTCTGCTTTAGAAGTTACCAAATCACGTTGAGAAAGTTAAGGCTTAGCAAATAACGTTAGCTATCAAGTAACTTTAGTTTCGTTTAATTAGTTATGTCACACTGTTACCAAATCAAGTTGTTTCTGACGTCTCAATCATCATGGATTTTAATTGTTCGTTCTTTAAGCTTGGGTCTCTAACCAATTCGCGCAAGTACTCGTACAGTATAGACTAGATAAACAACAAGCGCCACGCGTATAACTTTATGGTTTCATGCAACTCACCTGTGTCATGACAACATTGTCCCGCATTTTTCAGGGATCTACGAGCGGATTCGGAAGTACCAGCCAGAACTCGGCACATGCGAGCAACACACAGAGCACCTCTACGGGACTTCTGTTCGGTCAGCCCGTTAATCCCTACCACTGAAAACTTGGAATCGCTTCAGGCATCACAGCCTACTGAAGAAACGATCAATTAAAGAATTTCAGAGCTGTTTACGTAGGTGGTACAGATGGTTGATCTTGTTGGTGTTTATAAGAAAATCGTCATTGCTGTTACTTTGTTACTTACCCGTTGTTAGTCGGAGGCTGTGTGAATTTTTTCGGTCGAAATATATCTGTAGCAATAGGAAGGTGGTTTTTGGTGGTTACTTGTTTGTGGAATCATGACATATGTAGAGGAGAGGCTCAGTGGTTTATTAGAACTGAACGACCAGCCATCGTGTGATTGCCTTGAAACCGTAAGAGAACAACATCTACATACAATAGACGTATGAGCCGCGAGGTTAAAATCCGATGCATGCTGCATACCAATACAATACATACCAATGCTGCACCATATCCACCATAAGTATATCCTACTCCATCCCCAATTCAGTTTTCTATTTTAGTCACAACCCTTGACTGCATAGTGCATGTCTAAGGACATCTTCCGGCAAAGACCCCGCAGATTGATCCTTGTTCCGACGAGTACTGGCCAGGGTCGGGGATTCATGAATTTATTCATACAGCCTCGCAAACGCTGCAGCACTGGCAGATGGTCAGGGTAGTATGGAAGAACAGTATCGTCAAACCGGCCTTGGCATTTGACAGCCAAAGGATGTGCTATCCGGATTATACTGCCGTTTTTAGGCATATGAAAGTTTCTAGCCAATCTATAGTTAGGCCGATTTCGAGCTTGTGCCTTTTTACACTGAATACTCGAAATCAGCTGTTTTTAGATACAAGCTAACATATCCTGTAATCTTACGTAGCTGGTAACTATCAATATATTATATAGTTTTTAAGCGTAGCGTATGTATCAGAATTTGAACCATTACCTCGCAAAGTCGACGTAAAATATTCCAGTTTTCGGGAGGAAGCGGTGAAACCAATCAATAGGGCTCATTTTATTGTCATCAATAGCCATGCGACATGTGCACTTGCCACGCATCCACTCTCAAGGCTGCAGCGTTCATTTACCATGCACAACTACCGCGTATTTTCCCACATTGTAAAACAGATGTGCATCTATTCATGAGTCTATTCATGAGTCGATGACGTCCAATCCATCTCAGCGTGATGTGCACGTAGCACAAGACATCGCTGCCACTCAGAGCACGGCTGGTAAAACCGTCCTGCAAAATCACTTAGGCAGGCCTAGCGGCTAGCGACTGGCCGGTCCTGCGCAGCGTCTTCACTCTCTTGCGAGTTTGGAGAATAGCCTCCAGTGATATCAGATAAAAATAGCATGTAGCTTTTAGCCCCCGAACTGATTTGACGTCGCTCCTGCATTGGAGAATGACAGCATGCCTCCAAAAGGACCCGTCACTTGAAGGTTCGTAGCGTGCGCGTTGTTGATACTGACACCATTGCCGGTCGTTGAACCCTGAAAAGTGACAGATTAGACGGTGTAAATGGCCGTGAGAATTGCTATGTTCCTTTCAGGCAGGTGACTTCAAGGGGGCTTTCTCACATTTTTAAATTATTGACAGCTGACAGCAATTGAGTCAGTTTTGTCATTTATTCATTCATTCATTCATTCATTCATTCATTCATTCACTCATTCATTCATGTGTTCACTTATCCATTTATGTATTCATTCCTTTATCCATTCATTCACTCATTCATTCGCTCATTCGCTCATTCATTCATTCATTCATTCATTCATTCATTCATTCATTCATTCATTCATTCATTCATTCATTCATTCATTCATTCATTCATTCATTCATTCATTCATTCATTCATTCATTCATTCCAGATACTCACTCCGGCGGCGACGCTGACGCCGTTGACGGCTGAGTTGCCCCCCAGGCCGGACGTTTGTCCATTAATCACGTTCGCTGAGGCTGAGCCCGTGCTTGTGCTAGGGCGGCCGATGAATCCATTGTTGTTGAACCCATTGTTGAATCCGTTGTTGAATCCGTTGTTGAACCCATTGTTGAAGCCATTGTTGAAGCGATTGTTTAATAGGCCGTTGATGATGGGCTGTGGATAGTTGACGGTCATTGGTCAGAAACAACTAGGTGGTCTGAATTTGTGTCATGATTGTTGTTATATAATTACAAATCATTTTGTGCAATGCAAACCAAGCTGAAACTAAGCCCACGATTGTACAATTCGCGTAATCTTATGACACTTATTTTGCAATGTAGGTCATTAAGGATTATAATTATCTGCTTATCATAAACCCGTCAGCAAGCGGTGCTTTACATAAAAAGTCGCCATATCCCTTGTCAAACAACTTCTTAATTTGATTAATTGCGACGTATTTGGCATGTGAAATTAACCAGTAGAGATGAAATCCAGAGATATTAAAATGTCCATATCCAAAGGGTTTTGCAATACAGCTGGAAATAGGTTAAGTAGACGGTATGTTCTTTTGAACGTCGCTCTGTGAATTTGGCTTATTTGCATAAACAGTGTAGTGAATTTTTTCTGACCGGGATGCCACTGAATTTGAGATGTACCTTGTACTCAAACCTCTACATGAGCAAGTATATTTCACTTATTTCATTTTTACTCACGAATCTGCCCCCTTGTGGTGCGACTATGAGTCCGGGCCTCCTGTGTCCTCCAAACCTTCCTCCTCCGCGGTTTCCAAACCTTCCGCCAAACCTGTTTCCATGGAAACGCTGTGGAAAGCCGCAGGCCGCCGCCACCAGCAGAACCGAAACCAGGAGCCTCAGGAACCACATGCTGGTGCCTGAAGCTGCTGCTGCTGCTGCTGCTGCTGCTGCTGCTGCTGCTGCTGCTGCTGCTGCTGCTGCTGCTGCTGCTGCTGCTGCTTGGATTGGCTGCAGAATAGAATTTGAAGTAAATAAGACGTAAATTTAGAATGACAACAGCCGTTTTCACGACGGGCCATCTGGGGCGAACGCCGACCTAATTTGACCAAATCTTTTATCTGCACCAAATCTCTTACACCAAATATATTCATATCATGGATTCATATCAATGTTCTAATCGAAAATAATGTCAACAAAACGTAAAAATATTGAAAATAATGTAAGTGACGATCCATACTTATCAAAGCTACATTTCATATTACTCCTATCTCAATGATCCATTTAGTAACTGACCTGCTCAAAACACGATCGCACTGCACACTGTTCACGCACCGGCTGTTTAACTCGAACTGCAAGTACCCTGCGCACCACCACTGTACATATAGACTCAATGTAATCCTCCGAAAGGTCATCCGATCCGTCCGGGGAGGATTAGCATTTTTCAGGCAGGTTCCTTTGAATACCGGCCCAGCGAGTTAGTCTGGAGGGTTCATGTGACATTCTGTATTTGGTAGGGCGGACGGTGGGCGGTGGACGGTGGACGGTGGACGGTGGACGGTGGACGGTGGACGGTGGACGGTGGACGGTGGACGGTGGACGGCGGACGGCGGACGGTGGACGGTCTCAAAATAAATGATTGTAGTCAGCGAATTTTCAAGGTAAGCCTAAACATAATAAATGATAATATATAGAACGCTAAGCGATTGAAGATGAAATGGTGAAGCAAAAACATGAGCCTCGAAACACGAACTATTACATTTTAAGCGTCAAAGACCTACGTGTCTCTCTGTCCTTGGCATTTAAATGCACTAGCCGCTAGCATTGCATGTCTCTTCATGCATATAAATTCAACGATCACATACTTAAAGCGGCCGTCGTCCATCTGACCCGCGCAGTTATCTCCTGGCGCTCACGTACATACATATGTAAAGAGAGTTCCCCTCCCTCTCCATCGCGCTGATTCTCGCTGTAAGCTGTAGGTGGCACTGCTGTCGCTATTCTGCTGCGGTACTAGGCCGGCGCTCTGTGAGATGTCCGAGGACGATGAAACAAGTGTTGATTGCTGAACTCACGCTGTTTGCGGTTTCTGGGTTGAAAAATAGAAAAATGCACCATGTAATGTGTGGTGTTCCTTGCTAGTCAAGCAGGCCTAAAATGTCTTAGCCCCAGAAAAACAGTATTTATCCTGCCATAGCTCTAACGCCATCTGGGCCCACTAAGCAATCGCTCAACGAGCTATGGTACGCCGTAGAGGTCGCTAGCGAGGCAAGGCCGACCGAACATCTATCCATGAACTAACCCTCGCCCGCACATGGGGGGGGTGGTTGCCACCCCCCCCAGGTAGTCTTTCTGCTCTGCACTCAACATTTTTAGAGCTAGAAGGCTGATTTTTCGTATAGCTGCTCCTCTATCCTTTCTTGATGTCCACTGAAAAATTCAAGTTTCTGTGATTTTTGGTTTCGGAGATATGACCTTGTTTTTCAGGTCATGTCATGACCCGAATGGCCAATTCTCAATATCTTGCGTTTGCCATGGGCCTTATGAGCTTTTGACACCCTGATTTCGGCCTTTTTTGCCAGTCTTACCTCCAACCTATCATGGAACATGTTGTCCGACGATGTACAGGGGTCAAGGTCAGGGTCAAGGTCAACCTAGGTCATCTAAGATAATTGCGTTTTAGGCAAGCTGAATTTACTTTTTTTGAAGTTTTTTGACTGCATTTTTGGTAAAAGCTTCTTAGATCATGATTTCATGCAATATGGACCCAAAAACAATCGGTGCACACATCAGTATACACACAGACACACACAGACATACAAACACATATAATTGACCTTGACCTAACTTGACCTGAAATGACCTCAGCAGCAAAATTCTGGTCGGGTAGTGTGACAAAGAGGTTCTAGCTGGCTTGGCACCAGAAAACAGCATCATCATCGGTATCTGATAAGCAGCACACTTGATTTTCAACGGTGACCCAAAACAGCAACATTTTTTAGTTTGACCTGACCTGGAAGGTCAATGACTGACCTGAGAAGGTAAAACTGGGTATCATTGGATTCGTCTCTTCCCAAAGAATCTTTTTGGTCTTTACTGCTAAGCTCTATCTCCAACAGGAACGAAATGGCGCGGGGGGGGGGTGGCAACCACCCCCCCCCCCATGTGCGTTCTAGGATGGGAAAATGGCATGTGCGGGCGAGGGCTAACCTTGGTGAGCAATCTTTTTTAATATTATTCTGTCAGCCAGCAACTTCAGAGGCCAACTGTTTTCTTGTAGAAATTCGTACGCGTTTAAAAAGATTATTAAAAAGAATAAGATGCCATGGAATATATTCAATTTGGGTACGCATTGAAAAGCGACTGACATCTCTGTACTGTAGTATGTTTGCATTATATCCAACAAGCAGTTGAATTCTAACATACATCGCGAGAACGCGACCACACGAATGTGTATCAGCAAAGTGGCTATGTTTAGCTCGTGCAAGTGTCGTGTCCGGGTGCACTTACAAAACACTGTCTACTACGACTTCTGGTGGCGAGTGTTTATTTCATTACGCCGTGTAGACTGTAGAGTGAGGGACCTGACATTGGACATTGGCAGTCCAGAGTCCGTATACTCTGTGATTTTGTCTGGGTGACATCCAGCTAAAATATCGCAGTACTAGTACGGTGGTCAGCTGTTCACAGGAAAACAACATTTCAAATGCATCTGTTATTGTAAATCACATATAAATGATAGATATGAAGCATGTTTCCTATGTATGTAAACTTCCGGCACAGTTCAGCTCTATCGTATGTCTGTAAAACAGTCACTTTAACAATCAAACTTTATCCAAGGACTGAAAACAAACGACTGTTCAATTACCATTCAGCTCTATCGTATGTCTGCTTTACAGACATACGATAGAGCTGAACTACATTCAGTGTATAAAACGTTCGAAACTTGTTTCCAAACATTTTATCAAACATTGAAAAGGGGTGTAACACTGGCAGAATGATAAACGTTTCAACACATATGACAATGCAGAGTTTGCTTCACCTGAGTTCGGACGATACAAGGTAAAATCCACAAAAGCCGTTTCACTTTTCAGATCCCAGTTCCATTGTCATGATCTCGCGCATGGCAAACTTCTGAATTTTGCCCGTCACCGTCTTGGGAAAGTCATCCCTGAACTGTATATAACACGGGATCTTGTGATGTGCGATCCTTCCCTTGCAGAAACTCCTGATATCATGCTCCGAAAGACAGCAGTGCTCTCGAGTTCTGATCCAAACCGCCAGCTCCTCTCCCATCCTCTCATCGGGAACTCCAAACGCTGATGCTTCCAAGACGTCTGGATGGGTCATCAAGAAGTCCTCCACCTCAGTCGGGTAGATGTTCTCTCCTCCGCGAATCACCATGTCCTTGGCACGTCCGACGATCTTGACGTAGCCGTCTTCGTTCATCACAGCCACATCGCCGGTGTGGAACCATCCCGAGGGAGTCAGACACTCCGCCGTCTTCTCTTCGTCGTCCCAGTATCCGAGGAAGAGGTTGTATCCCCGCATACAGAGCTCTCCGGCGGTGCCGACGGGAAGCGTCCTGCCGTGTTCGTCCACCACCTTCAGCTCAGTGTGGTCAAGAGGGTAGCCCACGGTGCCGCAGCGATGCTCAACATCGTCAGAGGGATAGCTGAGGGTCAGAATGGGACCGGTTTCAGTTAGACCGTATCCAACAATCGATCCAGTCATGTTCATTTCGCTCATCATTGCCTCCATGAGGTGGAAGGGCACAGGTGCTCCGCCGATGAACCCGCTGTGCAGTGAGCTGATGTCGTAGCGTCCCTGCTTGGAGATGTTAACCATGTCAACAAACATTGTAGGAGTGCCGTACATGTGAGTACACCAGGCGCGGATACAAGGGGGGGGGCCATGGGGGCCATGGCCCCCCCCCTTGGCCTATTTTTTCAAAAATAAAATAAAAAGTTAAAAAGTTAAAATGCTGAAAAGGGGGCCTCCTGAAAATAAAGTGGCCGAAATCCGATGACTTTTTTTTAACCTACCCACTTAGTTATTTCTTAGAAGACTAGCTGAGAAGACTTCTTTGTTAGAAGATTGGTAAAGCTTTTCATAACTTGGAGGTCTCTTATACTCACAGAGATGACCACTTTTACAGGGCCTCCTAACCTGCACAGAGGGCCTCCAAGCCTGCACAGATGTTGAGATGTTGCCTGAACAGCTAGATAAGCTCAATAGACGCAGTTTTTTTGGGGGGGGGCCAACAAGTGGGAAGATGGGGCCTCCAACAGGTGGGATTATGGGGGGGCCTCCTGGTTTCTAATGGCCCCTCCCTTGGAGATTTTCTGGATCCGCCCCTGGAGTACACTTCTCGACTTCGGTAGCTTGAAGAGCAGCTACGGCGTCAAAGGCTTCCGAAGGAAATACCAGGGTGCTTCCAAAGAGAGGCGCAAGAACGGAACCGGCAACGCACCCAAAGGCGTGGTAGAGCGGCACAGGAGTGCAAACGCGGACAGAGAGCTGGTCGAAACCAGTGCGGGACCCCATCTGCTTCATGTTATTGACGATGTTGTGGTGGGAAAGGGTGGCTCCCTTGGGAAGACCTGTGGTCCCTGAGGTGAACATGATGCTGCAGGGATCGTCGCAGCTAACCTGCGCCTGACGTCGCTCCAGCTCCCCGGAAAGCGACTCTTTTCCAGCGTCCAACAGGTCATCGAAGCGCAGAACGCCACGACGTCGCTCTCCCCCAATCATGACGATGTCGCGCAGCTGGGGGAGCTTCTCTGACCTCACCGTCAGCGGTACGCCGGCCTCTCCGTCCGCCAGCGCCGGCACCAACTCCGTCAGCATCGTGTAGTAGTCGGACGTTCTGTACCCCTGGCCAGCGACCAGCGTCCGGACGCCCACCTTCCGCAGACAGTACTCCAGCTCGCGACTCTGGTACGCCTGGTTCACGTTCACCAGCACCAGGCCCGCCTTGGCCGCAGCATACTGCGTCAGAAGCCACTCGTATTTATTCGTCGCCCAGATACCAATCCGGTCACCTTTCTCCAGGCCGAGGGAAAGAAATCCCCTCGCCAGCCGATCCGCCTCCTGCCGGACCTCCAGCCACGTCCTCCGGATGTCCTGGTGGACGAAGATGACGCCTTCCCTGGTGCCGAAGTCGCTCGCCGCGCGGTCCAGGACGTCGGAGAGAGTGTGGTGTACCAGAGGCACGGTTCCCGGACAGTGCAGGTAACTGTCTCGTAGGCGCGTGGCTGGAGGACGTCTCTGCAGTGCTGAGGTGGAGGAATGTCTTGTGACGAATGTTCGACCAACCAGCCTGAGGCATGGCGTGATGGTGGTTTTGATAAACAACATTTTGTGGCTTGTGTATTCAAAGCTGTCTTATTCGATGAACAGTTGGCAACGGACGGTGAAGAATGACAAATTGCTTATGCTGTCCCAGTATCAGCAATATAATTAGGTTCCCTTGAAGCACGAATCCTGAAAAAGAAGGACATTTCTCACTTATCATTGCATGCTGAAGAGAACAAGCATGTTTTACATCACCCATGGTCAGCCGATATTTCAAATATGCTTCCTAACACGCGCACTTGTATTGAGTTGTGTACAAGTGACCACTGCAGTTGAAAGGATACATTTTATGTGCTAAGGGTTTTTGGCCGTTTTCACGACGGGCTATCCGGTGAGTGCACCTAATTTGACCAAATCTGCACCTAATCTCTTTTACAGCAAATATCTGTATTTTATGAATATATTTCAGCGTTTTCATCGATGATACTCTCTGATAATATGTCAAAGCAGGCATATAAGCAATTAGTGCAACCCTACCTGACAGCTAGTAAGAAAAACACTGAACCTGATTTGACCAAAGCTGCACCTGATCTGCACCAAATGTGCACCAGATGTGTACCAGATGGCCGTCGTGAAAACGGCCAATATCCAGCGAACCATGTCCAGGAAAAACAATGCGCAAATTAGTTAATAATTTGTTTTCATCTGGAGCTATATTCAGTAGACTTTTGCTCTTTTCATTGTTACGATAACAACGTTCAATGACTCATTCAAATGTCAATAAACGTTGCGACATGTTTTTTAACCCTCGCATGTGTAGGGGGAGGTCGAATGGATCCCCCCCATGGTTTTTCGCAAATAACTCGCGCAAAAAGTGCGACAAAACTCTCAGTACCCTCGAGTTGATCAATTTTACACCTACTCTGAAAATTTCATGACCTTGACCCAAGTGACCTTTGACCTGTGACCTATTTGTCGAAGCCATGTTTGGCCGGAATGGCGATTTGGTGTATGTCGGCTCGCATTAGCCGCGCGTTTGCTAGCTTTTCGTGGTTTCAAACGTTCAAACATTTAAATTGATGTTACTCCAATGCATTAGGGTGGATGTCAAGGTCACCTGAAGGTCAGGTCAAGTCATGACCTTTGGTGATCTCGGTTCACTTTTTCAAGTTTTACATGTCTCCAGGCTAGTTTTTGGAGCTGAATTCGAATTTAGAAACCATTTGAACATTTCCGAAGTAGTTTTGGTGCCTTCGTAACATGTTACATAGCTTTTAGAGGTGGTTGACACGTACTACAAATACCCGTCACGACCCCTACTGGTTGACCTGACCTGACCTGACCCGACATGGTCTAAATGCTTAAAAACAGCATCTGCAATCAAAACTAACACGATATTAACCGTTTTCACGACGGCCATCTGGTACACATTTGGTGCACATCTGGTACAGATTAGGTGCAGATTTGGTCAAATCAGGTTCAGTGTGTCTCTTAGCAGAGCTATCAGCTAGGGTTGCACTAATTGCTTATATGCTTGCTTTGTCATATTAGCATAGAGCATCATCGAATAAAACACTGAAATGAATTAATAAAATGAAGACATTTGCTGGAAAAGAAATTAGGTGCAGATTTGGTCAAATCAGGTGCATTCGCCGGATGGCCCATCGTGAAAACGGCTATTCGTGATCAGCACCCCGAAAAACCCTCAGCAGCCACAGTCTACGACTGTCCAACAGGTCCCGATTTTCCCGACTTTTGGGTTATTGACCTGACCTGGAAGGTCAACCAATGACCTAGGACCTTAAAATTGGGTATCATTGGCTTGGTCCAACGACCCCCCCCCCCCCCTACACATTAGAAACTAGCGTACGCCGCACACATGCAAGGTTAACGCTATAAACAGTGAACAGTTTATGATAATATTTATACGACTTCCTCCACGCAGTATTCATAAGCGCAGGCTAATCTTACTTACCCAAGTTAGCCCGAGCCTGAGTCAACTCCTCTCCATACAAACACACAAACAGTCGTTACAATTACCGAACGCTCCGCGGCACCCGTCTCGACACAGCGCTCCCGCCCGACAGGGTGTCGCTGTCGGACTGCGTGGCCCGCTCAGTCACACGGACAAGTTCGGTGCCAATGACCTAGCGTCTCAAGGCTGGACGGGTAAACAAACGTTCACTATGGGCCAAGATTTGGGGGAGATGGGTAGAGGGAGGGGTGACAGGGAGGAGGTGAGTTGGCATTCGCATAGGTGACGTAGGAAGGAGGGAGGGAGAGAGGAGACTGGAGAGGAGGAGGAAGGGAGAGGAAGATGAATAGAAAAACAGTATAGTTAGACAGACTGATAGAGAGGCTGTCAAGCAAAAAAGACAGTCAAAACAAAAACAGAGACAAAGACGAGGATCGAGAGCTAGAGAGAGAGAGAGAGAGAGAGAGAGAGAGAGAGAGAGAGAGAGAGAGACAGACAGACAGACAGACAGACAGACAGACAGACAGACAGACAGACAGACAGACAGACAGATAGACAGACAGACAGACAGACAGATAGACAGACAGACAGACAGACAGACAGACAGACAGACAGACAGACAGACAGACAGACAGACAGACAGACAGACAGACAGACAGACAGACAGACAGACAGACAGACAGACAGACAGACAGACAGACAGACAGACAGACAGACAGACAGACAGACAGACAGACAGACAGACAGACAGACAGACAGACAGACAGAGAGAGAGAGAGAGAGAGAGAGAGAGAGAGAGAGAGAGAGAGAGAGAGAGAGAGAGAGAGAGAGAGAGAACCAGATGTAGTTAATAGCAGACATTGGCAAAAACAAGATGAAGAGGCAAAAGACGGAAAAAAGCAAGAGACTAACAGAGACATAGAGACACACACGAGGGATATAGGGTCACAGTCTTGAATAAGTGTTCTCATAGACTCAGAACGATAACGAGACAGAAATTAATAAACAGATACACACCCCAAACTCATCCCACGGACTCTTCGGGGCAAAGTAACCGACAGCTTAAAGGAAAAGGGCCACCTTTAACATGGGGATTGAAACTGAGATAGCCATATTGTAGCCCATGTCCGAAAACCTATCTGTCTACCTCCTTACGGCCGATTTCGGCCTCCATTCGTAGTAATCGGCAATTTTAAAAGAAAATACGCCAGGAATGCGTCCTTATCCCAGGAATGCGTTCTTATCCGACAATACAGCCACCCGCGGCGAGGCTTTGGTTTTTTACCAATCAGCTCCAACCAGCTCAGCTTTAACCAATCAGCTTATCTGACACAATCCGACGAGTCTGTCTTCTGAACGCTGATTGGCTTGAGTGTGACGTCATCGCTATGCCATCATACAGTAGGTGCCGTAGAGAGTATCAACTTAGTACCAATATGTTAAATAGTTTTAAATACTTTTTCGCGAATTGTGCACTTCTGGCACCAGTTTTAAAAAGAAAATGAAAAATAATAATGTCAAAATGAAAAACAACGATATCTTCATATTTCACGAAGGTGGCCCCTTTCCTTTAAGATTAGATCCTATCTTTGTATAAGTGTCGTTTGTTGGGCTTGTCTGATTCGTCTTCTTTTGTTTTATCAGTCCTTGTAGATATTGTTTCGGTGGGAGACAATTGAATAAACCATAATACTCGTAAGTATAGTGCTAGAAGGAGGTGGCGATGGTAACATAGTGCAGAATACCGGATCGTTTCATGGAGCATTCAAGTTATCTATGACAATGTAAGCCAGTCCAGACACCTGAGAAAAAAAAAATGGTCACGAGAAATGCATGCGAAACAAAAGGTAACTTGCGTGAAATGTTTTCATGGGCCTCAAGTCGGGTTTATGATGGCTATTAAAGCGTTAAATAATGTTTTTTCTTCTACTGCTTGTTCACTCCAATCTTTGGTCTTCTTGTTATCTTCCAGTCGGCTACTGGATGTGGATATGTGTGGCTCCCTACGGCTGATAATTTTAGAAGTTGTGACCCAAATATGCCATCAAAAATGGCTTCAAAACGGTTGAACCTAATGACAAAATCAGTATGTCTTGAGACTAGCAGGAAGTCCAAATAATGCAGGCTGAAATTGTTTTTGGATAAAAAGGAATTGTGATTTTTGAAAGTCTTGCCGATTTTCAAGTAACTCGCCGACTGCGTAAAAAATGGGCCAAGCACGGAGCCCTGGGGTATCCTAAACAAGCTTATCTTTTGTCGTTCGCTCAGTGATGCTTCGTGATGCCATATGTTTTTTCTCATTTCTGATAATTTAATTGGGTAAATTACCTAAACATGTTTTTTAACTGTACCTGATAAAAGTGGAGATGAATTCATGCTAATATTTTATGTGCTTGAAACAAAGTCATGCATACTGATGATACATAGATGAAATATATTTATGATATGCGTACACTGATGAAATGCACATCACAGTACAGTTTGAATACCTCTGCAGATCACACCTGAAGTTTTGTGGTTTCCAGCAAACATCAGACGAGTTTGTTACCCTCGTGATAGCCTCTGCTGGATGAAACCTGTTCAGCTTTAACCAGCAGACTGCCACACGAAAGCGAGGGAAAGAAGGGGCGACATCTGACACAGCTTATTCCGCAGCCTCGACGGCAGGCTCAGCCTTGGCCTCCTCGACCTTCTCGAAGGTCAGGGGCAGACCCAGGCCGGCGTAGCCGTAGCCGTAGGGGGCGGCGTAGCCGTACGCGTGAGGAGCAGCGTAGCCGTACGCATGAGGAACGCCGGCATAGGTGACGGCGGGGGCGGCAGCGTAGGTGACGGCGGGGGCGGCAGCATAGGTGACGGGGTGCTCGACGGTGGTGGACTTGACGACGGGGGCTCCGTGGCTGTAGGAGACGCCGACCGCCTTCCGCACGGTGGAGACCACGGGGCTGACGGCGGCGTAGGCGTGCGCCTCGTCGGTGCGGTAGGCGAAGTTGCCGCCGAACCTGTGGCTCTGGATGACGGCCGAGTCGTGGGCGGGCGCCCGCAGGACGGTGGTGGCCGGCACGACCAGGCCGGCGCTGGCGCATGCCAGGGTAGCGAACAGGGCAACGAACTGCAAAGAAGGAGAAACTCAGGTCAGATATTGGCAGTCTAAACCACAATTAACTACTGATTGCCAAAAAATACTCTGGCCCCCTGAGGCAAAAAAAAAGATCATCCTCAAGAAAAGGCTTGAAGGAGTCTGTTTCGGTTTGCAGGGTCAGGGAAGTGCAAGAACGAAACATTGAGCTGCATCCCTGAATGTTGGTCCAAAACATGTTCTCTCTCATCCAAAGAAGCATTGTTCTGCTCAACTTACCACCTTCATGATGCTGCTGGCTGGGTGAGTCTGCAGAGGAGAGTGTCTCTCGAACAGGCGCCGTCGCCTTTATACCCAACACCCAGGTGACGTCACTCACAGCCCTCTGACGTCACTTGTGAAGGTCATCGGGGCAGGGCGGGGCTCTCGCGCGCTCTTCCAGGGCGGGTTCGCCGGGATGCCGCGTTCCTCGGGTGCTTCTGGGAGGGGACGGGGAGGGGAGGTGGGTTGAATCCGGAAGACGCCGACCCACCGGCTACCAATACCGACCATTCGAAACGAGCACTGACAAACCGTATTCTTTTCTTTATTCTTTATTATAAAGAATAAAGGTATTCTTTTCGGCATTCAGTGTGCGACGATCGATGCGATTTTTCTTGTATATGGCCTCGATATTTTCAAAGGAGATATCTGAGGCAGCCAAATAAATGGATGCCTAATTATGAAAAACGTGTTTTGTACACTTTAATTCCGAACAAAAATATAAGATATCGCTTAATTTTCCTCATAGCCGTAAATATGCAGATAATGATTGATCGGGTGCGCGATTTGCTGCTTTGCAATAAATGGTCGATACCTACAATATGAGTTGCAAATTCAGATCAAAGTCAATTGTTAAAGCTGAGCCAAAATCATCAACAGCAGTTCAATAAATCATGTGGCAATAGATTGAAAAAACGAAACGTGGAACATTTCTTAGCGGAAAGAAAGATCAACCCAGCAAGTAAAAAATCAGATTATTTGTTATTAAAAAAAAGTAAACAGGCAATGTATGACGCAAGAACGAAAAACATAGGTCCTAATCAACTTCCCTGGTAGACCCGTAAACAGTTTTGTTGTGATCTGTGCAGTGGTCCTTTTTAATTTCTCTTGAATCAAACACGGTTCGAAACCTGCCTTAGAAAAAAATTGTTGGCATATTGAGTGTGTCCAACGATTTGTAGTAACCCTCACCGGCCGAGGGGGTGGGGGGTTGCCGCCCCACAAAGGTTTTTTTGCGATAGCTCCAAACACGCTGGCGATGGAGAGCTGAAACTTGGTATACCTGACCTTTTATTCAAGCCACATCTTTTGACACCAACCGCATTTTCGGGGCAGGTCAGGTTCTTGTCCTATGACGTCATAAGCGAGCCTCTGCACGGTCTTCAGATGCTGCAACTTCGCAACGCCCTCACTGCCAGAGGAGCTCTCACAAGGAGATGAAAATTTCAGGATCTAGTATCCATTAGAAGTCTCACAACTTTTTAATCTAGGATTTTTTCTAAAGGTCATATGAGGTCAGGTCTTTTTTTGTGAACTCACTAGAGATGTCAATCGGATACCGGCTTTTTGGTATACCGATACCAAACCGATACCAACTTGGTAATGGTATTTCAAACTCAATGTTTTTGGTATTTTATTGGTATTATGAAACCTCACTAATGTATAAGAGGCTGTGAATTTGGTAAAAAGTTGGTATTTCCCTGGTTGGTTCGGTTTTGGTATTTTCCCATGGTTTTGGTTGGTATTTGGTTTGGTATCGGTATCCTGATTTTCTGTAATTGACATCACTAGAACTCACCATTAAAAATCAATGGGGAAAAATGAAAACTGCTATTTTGGCGCCGGGAACAATCTCATATTATCTCAACCACACGGAATCGTAATTTCATGCAATCCTTGCAAATTTCGATGTTTCACTTTTGTATGGTTGACCTTGCGTGACGTCATTTATGACGTTACTAGGGACATAAGAGTTTTTCGTCAATAACTCCTGATCAAAATTGAGCTAGCGAGTCAGGAAAGCCACCAATGGACTCGAGAAGACCTGCCAAATCGAATGATATGTGACTCGACCTCTTTCGACCAAGTTCATGACCTGGCGGGCTTTGACCTGACCGTGACCCGAGGTCAATACGTAAAGTGGAATTCAACCAAACAAAAACCATACCTTTTGACTCGCCTGAGCAAGGCGAGCACGATGCTGTCAAAATCGCGGCTCTGTGATCATTTTTTGCGAAGTTATTCGCCACAAACCGAGCTCGTACCTTGGGCCACTTGACCTGACCTAAGAGGTCACCGGTTGACCTGAGACCCTAAAATCAGGTACCAATCACTGCGTCTCGTAACGGGGCAAATGCTCGTTTTTCCGCGACTCTCTAGCTTCATTAGGGGTGAGACGACGAGACGGGTCGTAGGTCGTAGCCTACCCGCCATCGCCCCCCCCCCCCCACCCCCCACCCCCTCGGCCGGCGCGTATATAGAAAACCAATAGGTCCGGCGAGGGTTAAATAGCTCTCCGTTGCAGACGTCCAAGATTTGCCTCTGGTCGGTAACTGTTCCGGTTGTTTTTTAATAGAAAAACACAATTCTAACGAATAGTGTTTGTCTAATGAAGAAACAACCTGCGGTTAACATCCTGCTGCACCGTCTCTGCACATCCACGATTGCCCGAGACACGGACATCCCCGCCCCATCCCCGCTCGTGTCCGGGGTCTCACGGTCTGGGTGTGGTTCGGCCAGTGGTCCTATGGTCCCTCTGATTGGTCGCTCCGTGCCGTCCAGGGTCAGGCTCAGCTGAACGGTATAAAACCGGCAGACAAGGCGGAGACGGCACTCGCTCACACAACGCACCAATCATGAACCCCCTGGTGAGTTCCCAGTCCAATCCGAAAATGTAGCTAAAATGCTGGTTTGTCTATTTACAGTTTAACATTGGCAGTCCATGAAAGCATTAAGAAAATATTTAAAAATCTGACCTGGTTCCCTAACTTCTAATAAAAAATAAACGAAGCACTAAATGCAGAAATAGAGGGGCAAAAAGTTGGAGAACGTCTTAAAAGAATACCACTAAAAAAGTAGCAATGACTGCATATGACCATGCTTGGATATTTTGTGCCGAAAACTTGTGAATGAATCATGAAAAAAATGTTTCCTCCTATAAGCTCATTTCCGGTCTGACCTGCCCCACGCCGTGTTGCAGGTTGTCCTCAGCGCCCTGGTGGCGGTGGCCTGCGCCGCGCCCGGCCACTACAACCTGGCGGCCACCTACGCGGCGGCGCCGGCGATCACCTACGCGGCCGCGCTGCCGCACGCCGTCACCTACAGCAACGTGAACGCGGCCGTGCCCGGCCCGGTGCCCGACAACGGCCTGTCGCCCGGCCTGGACGCGCTGGTCAAGAAGACGGCCATCTCGGCGGCCGGCCGGCCGGTGACGCGCATCCAGCCGCACATCACGCGCACCGTGCCCGAGATCACGCACAAGCAGGTGGACGTGGCCGTGCCCGTGCCGCGGCCCGTGGCCAGGAAGGTGCCCGTGCCGGTGACCGCGCCGTACGCCGTCACGCCGGTGGTGGAGACCACCGAGGTGGTCCAGCCCGTGGTCCAGCCCGTGGTCCGGCACGCCGTCTCCACCTACTCCGCCCCCGCCTACGGCTACGCCGCCCCCGCCCACGGCTACGCCGCCCCCGCCTACGGTTACGCCGCCCCCGCCCCCGTCGAGTGGTAAACGCGACGGACTGCTGCTGCTGCCATCTTGTGGGGAAAATTTCGAATGTGCCTTTGAGTGAGAGAGACGTTTGAATTGTCACCTGCGCTGAAAACCAGGAAATGCATATATTCTGTTCATCATATCTCATATCATCTTATAATCTCAAATACATATTTTCAACGTGAAAAGATTGTTTCACTATGCATGGCCGCGTCTAAGCCAGCAAGGAGCGAGCATTATGATCCCTCTAATTCTTGTCTCCGTACATGGTTGCCCGAAACAACGTGAACGTACAGAGCCACAACGAACTATTCTTACCATTACATTGCGTCGGTTTTAGAGGTGTCAACCGGAAGCTTTATTTACACACTGATAGACATGTCGCCGTTCGAACTTACACTTGTTTTTGTTTTGATCACACGGTCAACTGCTTTGTCAGACATTCATATGTGACAGAGGGTATGGCGTTTGACAGGTTACGGCTGACTGTCATAAACGAAACGCCGAAACGAACCGAAACGTCGTAAACCGCATTTATTTGGTATGTGAGAAATGAGCATTTACTGAATACCGGTAAATGAAAATTTTTCTTTGGTGATCTGCATTAGTAGCGATATATAACCGTTTCAAGATTTTCTAGCATTATTGAGCATCGCAATCATTACAAAAGTGAGCTGCTGTGCAGAATAAGGCGACAGATCAACCCTTGGATCAACTATGCTTTCAAACATGCAAATCGTATTTTTCAAAAGATATCGAAGCACGCAATGCGTCATAAGAAGCATGCGGCATTCCTAAGGCCACCTACATACAAGGCAAAAATGAAAGTAGTTAATTTTAGTCCACCCAAGACCCAAGCCAGCTCAATGCTTAATCGCAAATTCACTTGAGAAAAAACGTGCTTAAGGGGCAATTGTGTAACACGTACCCATCATTTTTTCTTTCTTGCGTTTTTCTTCACAGCGTCTCTCT